CGTTGACCAATCAGTGTAAGGCAGTGGGCCGACGTGACGTCATGGCACGGGTACTATGGGGATGGAACCACGGCCGAGGCAGTACGGAAAAGTACTCAAATCTCCCATTCCATCCACTAGTGGAAACTCAAAACAACCGTGCTGAAGCGTACTGTACTGTACCGTACTGTACTGTAGCGTACTGATACTGTGGAAAAGCGGCAATAGTCCCTCCAGCGTGTCCTAGGTCTTTCCCGGGGTCTCCTCCTGGTGGGACGTGCCCGGAACACCTCCCCAGGGAGGCGTCCTGAACAGATGCCCGAGCCACCTCAACTGGTTCCTCTCAGCGGATCTACTCCGAGCTCCTCCGAGCTCCTCCGTTGTGACTGAGCTCCTCCCCCTATCTCTAAGGGAGCGCCCAGCCAGGCAAGGCAAGTTTAGGCAAGGCAAGTTTATTTATATAGCACAATTCATACACAAGGCAATTCAAAGTGCTGAACAAAACAAGAAAGCATTAAAATCATAAATTATCACAGAACATTAAAAAGAAAGATAAAAATATAAAATCCCTCAGTTGTATGCACAGTTAAACAGAACTGTCTTTAACCTGGTTTTAAACATTGTCAGAGAGGAGGCCTGTCTCACATCTTCAGGAAGACTGTTCCAGATTTTAGCAGCATGAATCTGAAAAGCAGCCTCCCCATGTTTAGTTCTGACTCTGGGCACTAACAGGAGTCCAGTCCCTGTGCTCCTCAGAGTCCGGGCTGGTTCATATGGGACTAACATGTCACTAATATATTTTGGTGCGAGGCTATGGAGAGACTTGTACACAAGCAAAGCTGTTTTAAAGTCTATTCTCTGAGCCACAGGAAGCCAGTGCAGAGACCTGAGGACTGGACTAATGTGGTCGTACTTCCTGGTTCTTGTCAGGACTCGAGCTGCTGCATTTTGAATGTACTGCAGCTGTTTTACAGCCTGTTTGGACAGACCTGTGAGCAGGCCATTGCAGTAGTCTAACCTACTGGAGACAAATGCATGGATAAGAATCTCCAAGTCTGCTTTAGACACTATGTTTTTGATCCTGGCAATGTTTTTTAGATGGTAAAAAGCTGCTGATGTTACTGATTTGATGTGGCTATTAAAATTTAAGTCTGAGTCCAGTATTACCCCTAGATTTCTGACCTTGTTTGAAGGTTTTAGGGAGAGAGACTGTAGGTGACAGATGACGCTCTCTCTTTGTTTCTGGGGACCAAAGACAATCATTTCAGTTTTGTCTGCGTTTAGCTGAAGGAAGTGCATCCACTCACTGATCTGTTGGATACAGTGAAGAAGTGAGTCCACTGGTCCATGTTCTCCTGCAGTCAGTGAGACATAGATCTGAGTGTCGTCTGCATAGTTATGATAGGAAACTTTGTTTCTGCGTATTAACTGACCTAACGGCAGCATGTAGAGATTGAACAGAAGAGGTCCCAGGATCGACCCCTGTGGGACTCCACAGGTCAGGGCCATATGATCTGAGACACAGTTTCCAATCTCCACAAAGTACTTCCTGTCTTCAAGGTAAGACCTAAACCAACTTAGGGCGGTGCCAGTGACGCCAACCCAGTCCTCTAGTCTCTGTAAGAGGATCTCATGGTCGACGGTGTCAAAGGCAGCACTTAGATCTAACAAGATTAAGATTGAGACTTTGCCTGCGTCAGTGTTCAGCCGGATATCGTTTGTAACCTTAACGAGAGCAGTCTCAGTGCTGTGGTGGGGTCTAAAGCCGGACTGAAACATATCAAATGAGTTGTTGATTATAAGAAATCTAGTAAGCTGTAGGTAGACAACTTTCTCAAGGACTTTCCCCATAAATGGCAGATTTGAGATCTGCCACTCTGCGGAGGAAGCTCATTTCGACCGCTTGTATCCACGATCTCGTTCTTTCGGTCATTACCAAAGCTCATGACCATAGGTGAGGGAGGGAACGAAGATTGTCTATTCCATTGCATGAAATAAACAGATTAAAGCTGGGGTGCCTAACTTTCAAACCAATCTCACTTATTCCTCACTCTGAAAACCGTTTAGTTCTATCACTAGATTTTACATGCAGGTATTTTTGCCCTCTGCCACGTCTTCAAATCCCCTTTTTCAGACAGAAAAGGTGACAAAGAGAGGACGGCCATCACTCAGACCATCAGCTCTCAATCCAAAGAATCAAATAGGCACATTGTTCTATTTGTGTTTAAGGATATTGACCTGATGGAAGCCAAACATCCGCTCCAGCCTTTTGATTCCAGCCTCCAACAGCTTTTCTCTCCAACGTTTCCACCATTCATCTTCCCATCAACTCTGCCGTGCTTGCCTGGCCCTGTTGAAGAAAAGCAGCCCGACATCAGGATGCTCGCACCACCATATTTGGCAGTGGAGAGAGGGGAGCGGTGTGAGTTTTGAAGCCTGTATGTTTTGCATTTGGGCCAGAGTTTGGGCTCTTGCGTCTTTATCAACACTTTCTATTTACCACCATGAGGGCCAGATTCTTGCCGAGTCTTGGTAGATTTGCAGTTGTACCATACTCTTTCCATTCTCCAGATGATGGATTAACAGTATTCTGAGAGACTTCCTCCTTCCTCAGGTGACCAATATTCTCTCCACAAACCTCTGAGGCTATCTCTTGCAGTCATAGTTATATTAAGTGTCTCTCAGGTGGTTCTTTACGCTCAATTAAGGGACAAAATGAACAGAAATAAGGCATCCAGTTGTCCCTTGTTTATCACGGTGGTTACGTTCTAAAAATAATCCACAAGCGAAATCCTTAAAGTAGCAGCTTTGTGTTTTAAGGCTGTAAATCCCCTCCCCGTACATAGTAAACATTTCTCTAACCACCTGAACTCACGACTGCGGAGCGGAGAATCAAGCCTGTTCGTTGTAGGTCTGAGCGCTGCTGCTGCTGTCAAAAGACTGAGGGTTACGGGAAGACTGCGCTAGTCCACTGAACTAACAGAGACCATAGAGAGAGAGAGAGAGACCAGAGTGAGAGGCATGAGTGAGAGACTAGAGAGAGAGGCAGAACAGCGAGAGAGAGACTTCTGAACTGAGCCATACAAGTTTTCTTCTTACATTAAGAGACCAGAGAGAGACCAGAGAGAGACCAAAGGGAGAACAAAGAGAGACTAGAGAGAGATTACAGCGAGAGAGAGACTTCTGAACTAAGCCATACAAGTTCTTCATACTTTATTCAAAGGTCTCTGTAATGTTATAGCAGTTATATGATTTGGTACTGTATATGATGTTGTTGTAGCATAAACGTGGCCATGAGGAGCTTACTGTAAGAAAATCACACAAAATTGCACAATTGAGGGACCACTGTATTTGCTTTAGCCTCATCAAAAACCAGGTGAGTTTGTGACGTTTTCATTTGTACCAAGCATCTCTGGGTTTGCTTCATACACAGAGCAATGCACTGGTTTGTTTTTGCACCTTACCCTTTGGTCAAAGTTGATCCGAGGACAGGATTAGGGGACATCTCAAACTTAATCACAAATGTTCATCTCCTTAACACACTGTTTCATTAAAGTCTGCGGAGGATTAGAGCGGCCAAAGAAAACAGACAGGCAAACGTCAGGGCTTCGGATTTTTATCACCGCACACACAAAAAATACTTTAGACATTTTTTTAATTATTTTTTTTACAAAATTCTAAAACCTGAGAGTGACATTTTTGCTACATATTTTTGCTATGATTTCTAAGTGCAAAACTGGGAATGAACACACAGAATAACAAAAATAGTACAAAGGAAGAGACTCACAGCTCAATTCTAGAACACAAACAGGAAAATGACATATAAAACAGAGCTGCCCGATTTGAGAAAAAAATTATAATTTCTGAATTAAATAAGAGAATAAGTTAAACAGGTAAATCACAGTTGAAACGAGATGCTACACAAGTGCTGATGGCAAGTTTTCACAATAACTTTGAGACTGCAGCCAAAGCGCAATATTTGGTATTAACTATAAAACGTGTTCCGTGACATTAGAACCCACTTTTCTCCATTATTTATAAATTCATTTTATTAGGGGTATAGACAGTGTGTGTAGAGCCCCATTTCCACCAGCTCAACTCAGCTCTGCTCTACCTGGTTAGAGGACTTTAGTACCAGCTCAGCCTGGATAGAACCAGGACCAAGAGGAGAGTAGACTAGGTCTGGTGCAAATGGGGATTTTGTGCTGTGTGGTGTCTTGTATTATGAATGAAAAGTGCTGTTTTGTTTTTTCCAAAATAAATATTGAAAATGTGATAAATTATTGACTTTAAAACCTGTGTCTGAAGTGTCTGATATTAGCGTGGGTGGAGCTAAAAACAACTTCAGGTCTGTCCATGATCAGTGAATGTTAATGATATGACGCCATTATGATGGACATAGTATTGTGCAGAAATTAAATTTAAGAGCTTTTAACCGTAATAGTTATATCCACTTGTCCTTTTTGATCCTGAAAAAACAAAAAAACTGAAAACATTTTGAGTTTAGAAATCCCAGACCAACATGGGTTGGCATTTAAATATTTTGTGGTAGTGTTTCACTTGGATCAATCCAGTAATTACAGAAATCTTTACAATAAGCCGTGGGGTACCTAACTTTCACACCACAATAGATAGAACTAACTAGTTGTTAGCTCTCAAAACCCTATTGTTTTGTCACTACTTTCCACATTAGTGGACCCTCCTCACTCGGCCAATCAGCTCTACGCCCAAATCGAACAGTGACTCACAGGGCTCTTTATTAAGTACGCAAAAGACATGTTTTCCTGCAAGATGAAGGCAGCCTGTTGTGGTCTGAATGTTTCACATTTGAATTTTACAAGACTCTTTTTGTATTATTCATGAATCTAAAAGTTAGGTACCCCAGCTTGAGCTTTCAACCCCTTCAATCATTGCAATGTCACGTGAAACACAACTGTTTTGAGTCCTTTTTTGCCAACTCCAGGCCCTCATTCCTCTTCTCTGCATTCAAAAAGCGTCTATGTTCTTCCGCGCCTGCTCCGTCAGTCCCTGTAGATGGCGCTCATGTGTCTGTACTGCTCGTACTGCTCGTCGATGCGCCCCTCCACGTACTGCGTCTGGTAGAGGCCCGGGTTCGGCTCAGACGGCGAGTAATGGTGCGGGTTCAAGTACGTGGGAGAGGTGTCTTGCTTCGCCACCATGTTGCTGCTGATACTGAGGGGCGGGGTGGGCGGAGCTTCGTAGGGCGGAGTCCCCACGCCTGTCGAGTGCCCGTCGTACAGGTTTGCCTTTATGGAGCGCAGGTGAAGCAAGTGCGCCGAGTCGAAAGTCCCGTACGGCGGACTGGGCAAGCCAGAAGATGCGTATCCGACCGTGGATATTTGGCGCTCCTCCGGTTTGGGGCCGAGCTGTAAACAACCCGATACCAAGTTAGACGTCGGTTGCGAAAGCCCTTTGCAAAGTGTGTCCATGAACGAGCGGCTCTGCATGGACGCCCCGCCCTCCAGCGCCTCGGAGAGCGCGCAGATGTAGTTGCGCGCCAACCGTAGCGTCTCGATCTTGGACAGTTTCTGCGTCTTGGAGTGACAGGGCATGATGCTGCGCAGGTTCTCCAGCGCGTCGTTCAGGCCGTGCATGCGCGACCGCTCCCGGGCGTTGGCCTTGACGCGGCGAGCCTTGAACCGCTCCTGCCGCGCCTTCGTCATGCGCTTCTTCTTGGGGCCGCGCCGCTTGCAGCCGCTCTCGTCCTGCTCGTCGTCCTCCTCGTCCTCACTGCACATGTGCTCGGACGTGGGCGAGGTGGCGTAGTTTTGGGAGGAGGAAGTCGGGTCGTTTTCGTCGGGGGAGCTTGGGTCGGTGCGGTCCAGCCACTGCGCGGGGCTCGTGGCGTCCTCGTCCTCTGCGCCTCCACGAGAAAATGGCTTTATCATCATGGTCTGTAAAGAGGAGCAGCGTTAAAGAACAAATATCACACATTTCCTTTACCGGCTCAGGAGGTAAAACAAAAACACAGGTGCTTATGGAGACGTAGGATAACTAACTATTCTCTCCTCTTCAGCTGTAGTCTGTTCATTGCTATTCACCCGTAGTCCCAATGTCTGACAGCACAGCCTCAGTCCTGGATCTACAGCCTGTCCATCTGTGGGAGCAGAGCCCTCTCTCAATGAGATTCTTACAGGACATTTGACCATTTCCTTGATTCTTGTAAACATTGATTAAAGCTTTGGTCTCTAAATTATGTTTTTGCATGAATAAAGCATTTTGTTAGCTGTAGTTTGTGAACGAATCAGACTGCAACATGCCATTTTCATTCATTTCACAAACACGTTATTTTAGCATACTATAGCTGATCTAAATATGTGACAACGGCCAAAAATATATGCAAGTGAAAACCAGTGATCGAAGCTGTTTTGAGAGTGAGGAACTAGTTAGAGTAGTTTCAAAGTAAAGTACGCCAGCTTTAAAATGTTTTCTTATTGACTGTACTTTGTTTTTTAAATCTGCTATTGCAACACATTCAAATCAACACATTTGTGAAGTCCTTTGTGATGACTGCTGTTATGATTTTACGCTGTAGAAAAATTATAAATGTTTTTTTCTGTCGTAATTGGAATGGGACAAGCCACGCCCTAGTCATTTCAGATTGTCACTTCACTTGTTTGGAAGAGATAGATAACTTTGCGTCTTTGGAAAATCGCCCAGTAGGTCACGAAGCTAATCTACTTTACCAACAGGTCAAGTTTCCAGCACCGGACAGCTCCACATCTTTGCAAAGTCTCTCTTTCTACCTCTCCATTATCCCTTGTACACATACACTAACCTGCATTCTAAGCCAATACTACACAGTCCCCCATATATTCTATTCTTTTTGTCCCTTTGCTCTAATCCACGGTGCGTTCGTGAGGCCGTAAAAAGCGGTGACATAATGCTCTGGCCGCCTTTCAAATCTGGGCCAGTGCAGGATTTGTGGATGAACCGTCGGCTTCGGGATTAAGCCAAAGATCGCATCCCCTAGATCAGCGCGCACTGGACGGTGACTGGGATTAAATTGAAAAAAATTAGGGAAAAAAATAAATAAATGAAGCATGTTTGCATACTTGCATACAGAGGCACCATTGTTAGGCGTTTGAATGTCAGAGATATGTAGGTGTTTTAAGGTTGAGACTGATTCACGGACGTTACATGCAGTTAAAAAGATCAATATTAAGATCAAATACAGCAAAGAATGTCAACACATTTATTTAATCTAAACTCTTTTCTAGGTAGAATGAGGTGTCAGTGAAATATACAACCCTCAATCTGGGAATAGGAATATGTAGTTAATAGATTAAGTTATAATAGGCCTTTAGCTTTACAAATCTATGTTCAATGTTTATGTCATGGCCTAATTCCTGTTATTAAGAGAAATGAATAACTTTATAGTGTAGCTATTGAACTGCAGTGTCAGCTAAAAATATGGTCTTGCTTTTTAATGATGGCATTGTTTTCTATATACATTACGGTTTTGTAATCCTGTCCTTTTAACATATGGACGAATTGAACTTTAGTCTGAAATACAGATCAATAATAAACTTTACATATAGATCAAATAGGAGACATTTATTTTTTACATTGTATTTTTTAAGCCAATAGTGAGTTAAAGCCTCTGAGATGGTTCGAATTTACAGTCAAAAACTTAAAAGTTAGTGAGAGATATAAGGTGAAAAATAAAGTTAATGTTATCTAATGTTTTGGCATTGGAGAAAAAATATTTGGAGAACCTTTCCCTGTAAATTGTTAAAACGCTTTGTCGACAGTTCTATTTGATCAGAAACTTGTTGGACTCCATTGCAGCTAACTCCAAAAAAAGTTATTTTAAAGTTAAAAAAGCAGTGCAAGCGATTGTCCGTAAGAGTGTTCTACCAACCCTGCCAATTTACACTAAAAGCCACAAAAATTTTATTAATTTGACCAGGTTTGATTTGATTGGCTTGAATACAGCTATTATTACTCTAGCTATTAACATTTTTGACTCATTGCCTTTTGAAACCTTGATTCTTTCACTGGTTTGAAGACATTTCTTTCTACATATCTCCAGTGTGAGATCAAGTCTGTCTTTTCTTCTCTTACTTAAGAAACTTAAGTCTTGAATTAACATGAAAGTCGTTTCCATCTTGGCAAAAAGTGGCTTCTTGGGGTCAAAAACTGAAGTCGATAACCCTACAATGGAACGAAAAGATCACAATATGTCCTGTACTGCTTCAATAAGACAACATGTGTCTACATTTTTTGGTCCTAAAACAATTTTGGAGAATGGAAAGAGACACCAATGCAAAGATATCCCCTCATCATCGAAGTGAGACATTTCTCGCCTTAGTCGTCAGTAAAACTAACTTATCTGCTTATTACTTTAACAAATCTCGTTTCCAACTGTAATAAATTAAGGATAGAGAATGAAGCAATTCTAGGACGTATAATGATGTATATAAAACTGGAATTATGAGAAAATCCTGTCTCTTAAACCATCAACAAATGCATTACGTTAAAGGGTAACTTATATGACACAAAAAGTCTATACATACCGCTTTTGTCTGGGATTTCTCTTTCCTCTGTCTTCAAACTCTCTTCACTGGACGTCCATGGAGCGCGCGTTGGGATGTCCCACTGTGGAGGCGACTGCGGCTTACAGGGATTTTATTGACCCCCCCTGCGCGCCAAGCTCCTCCCCTCGGGCTGTGCGCGCGTGGCCGGCCCGTGGCTTGTGGGGCTTATGCCTGGGTGTGGAGGGGGGGGGGGGGGGGGGGGGTCCAGGGCCAAAGGGGGGGACGCCCTCTGAGACTAACCCGATGTGACAGGCCAGAGCTGGGCACGAGCAGGTGTTTGTGGCCCCTCAGACACCCACCCGTCCACGCGCGCACGCACTTTATTTACATTTTGATGAGTCGCAGAAACAGGCTTTTTATCATGTTGATCAAGTATTAGGAGGGAGTCGTATCTGTCTCCTGTGGCTCACATCGTGTTAATACAACTGTTTACAGCCACAAACAACAAAAGGCCGCAGCAAAAGCCCTACTTGGCCCTACTCTACTCCACTCTACTCGGCTCTACTCTACCTGGTTCTGTTTCCGTTACACTTTAGTATCTGGTACCGTAACCTAGCAACCTACCCACAACAAACCAGTATTTGAGGAAACTCCTGCACTCAGGTCAATCACTGTCAACACTTCAGTATCAGCCTGGATAAGATAAGATGAAATAAGATAAACTTTATTGATCTCACAATCCTATCTGGTGCTACGTGATTTGGGTGCAGCTCTGACTACCACCCCCCCGACCCAGAAATGGATTAAGGGGAAGAAAATGGATGGATGGATGGATCTCACAATGGAGAAATGTACATGTCACATTTGGCATAGATAGAGTCACTCAGGGTTAGTGTGCAAACATAGTCAAAAGGTTAAAATATAGTCTCTTTTGTGCAAGATATATTATGTTAAATAAAATTCAAATTGACTATAGCAGTGCAAAAAACAGGGCCAATCAGGTACTAAAAAGGAGCTGGTATGGGTTAAACTTAGCCTGGTCATACCACACCATAGTACAAATGACATTTCGTACTAAGGTCTGGAGCTGCTCCATTGAGCTCTGTTTACAGGTGGGAGGGTTAACTCCTTTTGCAGATTGAAACGATTGGATCTGAGTTTACCGTCACGTTTGTAGTGCACCCGAGTCTGTTGTTAGCATTTAGCGTTTAGCCTAGCCATCTCCTTTGCCGCTAACGGATCCCGTGGGGAGTAGCGCCACAATATTTTTCCAGCGATTACATTTGCTAAACATTACCCTTGGTCCGGCTTCAATTTCTTGATAGAACCAGACCGGATTACTTTACTATCGCATTATTTGCCATTACCAAACTACAACCTGCGTGTTCGACGCAAACTCTTGACATCACCCACAACTAACTACTGCACCTGCCTTCCGCGCTCTGAATGGTCGGTCGAAATTCAACCGATTGTAATCGCTAACCTAGGGACCAGACCCAGACGTTACATGCAGTGAAATGATGATTGAACCGAGTGTACGGATGGTTAAGGCCAGGCTAGGTTAAACGGGGCCAGAGGTAACTCCCAATCGGGATCTGAGTAGAGGACAAGTAGGGCTGGTGGAAATTGTACTTTAGTACTGTATGAAGAGAAAGCAAATTGATACAAAAACATTAAATCAGCTGAGTACTGGTTTTTACCATTTTATCTATTTAAAACTAGAGGACCACCTAGACCTGACTAAAGCAGCAACAAAGCCATGAAACTAGCACAAACGGATACAGAGCTAGTAACTGTGCGTGAGAGACGACAGATCGTACAGAACGACCAACACAAATCATGTTAGTACTGACACAACCTGTGGGGTCTCCTGCTTTGATTCAATTTTCAAACCTTAACAGGGACAAACTAAACATATTATTAATTTAAAATTACAAAAGCAGTGAGTGCCATGGGGATCAAAAAGTGTATGGAACAAAAGTGAGTGATTAGTGGGAACAACGTTATTGAAAAACAAAAAGAAAAAGGTCTAAGGCACTCTGCATTAGTTATTCATTTAGAAGTCCTGTACCCCAGCTTTACTGAGGTGACGTGTGTTGAGCTGTGTCCTGAGCGCAGCCTCTCCCTCAGCGTCTGTCCGGATGCATGTCACACCTGCACCCCACAAACAGACTGCTCCTGCTCCCATGGGTGCCCCCCTCCCCCGGGACACTCACTGTACATCAGTCTGTTCCAACGACCGGGACTTGGATTTGTGTAAAAACGTATGTATGATGTATTTCTGACTGATTTAAATGTTTGCTTTTTATTTTGAATCCTGGAGCTACAGCCTGTTTTTCTCTATTATGCACATTCCCAAGGTTTCTCACTCTTTTCCCATAATCTTATAGTAGTCTAAGGACATTTATTACCGTTGCCCATCTCGCCCCTGTGTGTTTGTTATCATTGCATTTTCTGTATTCAAACTGTTCAATTCTCTGATCTGTTGTTGGTGAATCGATAACTTCTTCCCAAGACATCTGTGGGCTGTACAAAAAAATAGAAAAAACAGATTGAATTTAAATGAATTGAGAGAAAATATGGCAGATTATAACAAAAATGTTTGAACTGGACTTGATCTCAACATTCAGTGACATTTTTTATACACAATCTTTATCAAATTAGAAAAGAGAAAAAAAAAAACAAATGTTGGCTTGTGATTTATAAACTTGTGCCTTTGACTTTAATGTTTTTGGAATATAAATATCACCAGCCAGACTTATGTTCCATCTCCAATGACAGCTTGTTTGACAATCAGATTCAGATTCAGATTCAGAGTAATTGTTTGTAGTAAAACCGCATTGGAATACATCCGCAAAAGACCCTAGTGTACACAAGACAAGTACATAAATAAAGCAGTAAAGAAGAGTATTGTGTTCATCAGACAGTGGTAAATGTTAGTGTTGCAGCGCACAACAGAGCGATTATACAAGAAGCACAAGTTTAACCACGTTGAAAACCGACTCAAATCTGTAAAAATTTAGGAATAAAAAGATCAATGTAGTCAAAGGACTTCACAGAAATGTAGTGTAATAGTATTTACAAATGGAAAGGATGAAAGTAAAGAAGTAGCAAATTAAATCAAATCTAATTAACAAAAAAACTCCAGCTTGGGCACCATTTTTTATCAATAATATTAATAAAGAAGTTTTGTCTGAACAGAAAGAGATTAAGATTAAGAGATTCTATATTCGTCTTACAGTGGAGAACGTTCAATGTCTTGTGAAGTATACAAAAAATGTAAAAATCAGACCACAACAAGCGTCTTATCATGAGAAAGTGCCTTGAGAGTCACTATTTGACTCTTTGGGCTGACAGGTGATTGGCTGAGTGACAGTGGTCCTCTCTTTTCTGTCTGAAAAAGCTGATATAAAAGATCCATGTGTTGAACCAAAAACACATGCAGGTAGCGATAATAGCATCTGGTTTGGAAAGCGAGGAACTAGTGATATGGATTTTAGTTTTTCATGGTTTGAAAGTTACGTCTAAAAATTGACTGAGAGCAAATGATTTAGTCGAGTAAGAGTAGAGTTTGTTGATCTTACTTTCTGTTATAACACACAGAGCCTACGCGTGTTCTTCCTGGGGGTGCAGATGGTCTTTCTCCTGCTTTGCAAAGTCAGGTAATGGACTAATTTCAGGACATTTGTGAATCGTGCCCTGAGCTCAAATGCCCCGGTCGGCCCCGTGGTCGTGAGGACTGGCTCTGGACCTGGGTGAGGCGTCTGCGCTCTGGGACGACTGACTGAACCCTCTCCATCTGTCACAGGGAAGTCCTCAGAGACCGGACTGAAACTATGTCAGCGACAAGAGCAGGGATCATGCACACTATACTGCTCAGTGGCAACTATGGCTATTTAAAGGAGAAATATCATGCACTATTTTTGGTTATTCAAAATTATAATGAGACTTTTTACTTTGTCAATTGTTGTTGAGAGAAGGGAAATCGTATCTTCAGTAGAAAATATATACTGAAACAAGTATGAAGGGTAAAAAATGCTATCAGCCTGTAACTCCATATGCTACCATCAGGAGGAGGAGTGGAATCTGTTTTGTTTTTATCCAAATTTTGGCAATTCTATCTCTCTGGAGAAATTCCCAAAACAAATTCAGGGGCAATACTTTTGTTTAGTACAAACACATGTTTGTTTTAAGGTCCTGCATGTCGAAATACAGCGTCTATGCTTTAAAGTTGAGGAAAATGATCAGTTTCCTCATTTAAAGGAAGTACCTAAAAAAAACTATATGTACTAAAGTTCTTTGTAATTAGTCCATATGTCTCAAAACAGTTTGGTTTTATCACTGGTTTGTATTTATGTTCTCTGTCACATCTTTAGATCAACTTTTTCAGACAGAAAAAAAGAAAGACCCAGCCCTCACTCACATTTGTGGACAGCGGTCATCCCTATGTTTGTGATGATTGCATTTCTGTGTTGGAACGGTTTGATTCAAATCGGCATCTTTGTAATGTCCTCTGAGACGACTGCTGTTGAGATATAGGGCTATACACAAATAAATTGATTTGAGCTCGGTATTTAGAAGATCAATTGTTTTCTAATAGCATAATGACAGAATGTTGTTGTCCGATTTGTACAAAACACTTAAACAAGCACTTTATGAAGCAAAATAGTCAGCTACTCCAGCTTTAAATCTTAGACGTATATCTGACTCCATATAAGAGCAGGGCAGGTGACAATTGTCAAAATCCATTACCCCAGGATAAAGTGGACGGTTGTTTCTCTTCTGTTTGGAGTTTGCTGCTTTAGATATCGCTCTGGTGTGATAAGTCCAATATGTCAGCTCCATAATAGAGGTGCGCGGCGCATTGATCCCGAGGCCTCGTGTTTAAGTTGCTGCTTTGAGACTTGTCAGATATCGGGCTGGTGTTGGCCGCTGGTCTCAGAATGACTGTTAGCCTGCGTTTCATGGTCACACATCAGCTTTAGTGGCTCCACCAAAGCCTCCGTGAACTCCCAAGTCCAGGTTCAGGCCCCGCAGAGCCAAGCCGAGACCTCTGCACTGGATCCAAACCCCCACTCCTCATCGCATAAGCAGCTTGTATTCAAAGTGTGTAGGACAAGTTATTCTGTAGTTGGCTCTGTTTGCTGCTACAGACTGGGATAAAGAAAATTATACAGGTATGCCGCGTTCATGCTTTTTTATAATCTGTGCACACACATTCGATATAAAATAAACAGAAATACGTAGCTTGAAAAGGGCTTGGACAATAGAAGCTTATTTGGCCCCATCTCACTCATTCCCACCCAAAACACACACGCAGACCCAAACACTCTCCGACCCTACATCTCTCCCCATCACGCTGTGCTCAGAGTATCATTCTGTGAATTGGAATTGTGGACCTGATAAAGGTATCATTCATTCACTCTCCCAATTCCCTCTTCAGCACACATTATTAGTGTCATTAGCAAAGAGAATGAATTTCATTAACTTTCCTTTACGTACATCATGAATAGTGTGGGTCCCAGTAGTGTCCCCTGTGGTACCCCACAGGTTATGCCCCTACAATCTTATTCATGTCGATCGATCCGTACAATCTGTTGTTCGGTCATTGAATGGTGAATTTTGAGAATGACTGGCAAAGTGGTTTTCACTTCAATTCAATTCAAATTACTTTTGTATAGCCCTAAATCACAACAACATCATCTCAGAGGACTTTACTAAGTTGCATATTCCTCAGCAACAAGGTAGAACACAGGAAATTCTAGGGAAAATAATAGCAAACAAATGAGAGCTATTGGTCCATAGGGAGTGAGATGATCACTGCAAAAAATGTCCTTAAATGTCCTAAATTATCACTGTCCTTAGCCCTCCTGCATCGGCAAGGAACGGAAAACAGAGAGAAACCTCAGGGAGGCCCATGATGAAAAAGCTAAAGATCCAGGACTGAGGCTCTGCAAAGCAGGACTAAAGAGACAATGTCCAATGACAATGTCAATCACAAAACTTGTTGATCAGAATTTTCCTTGCTGAAGACAAAGCTGAAAGGAAGTTTCCTTTATGCCTTATGAACAAGTATGGATAGGACACTATTGCAAAGATCAACAGCATCAGGTGCCGTCTCCGCTTTTTGCCGTAAAAGGGTTTTCAAAATTTTCAAAGTTTTCCAAGTTTACAAAGCTAAGACTGTATTTGTTTGTCCCAATACTTTTGAATCCTCAAAAAGTGGGCCCACAAATAAAAAACTGTTGTAATTCCTGACTCGGATGTAAATACTCAATTTGAACAGTGTTGATACTGCTGCATGGCCCTCTCACCTCAGGCCTTCTGTACATGTGTGAAAAGAAAGAGCCACATAGAATATCAAAAACATCACATTGGCAAGTGCTGTGTTGATATATTGTAATGATGTGCTATCGTTTCTAATTACTTGTTATGTATAATTCATGCTTTTATTTCATACATACTGTAAGTTGTTTTTTATAAAGACAAATGCAGTTCCATCCTGTGGGAGTTCTTCAGAGAGAGGACTTTTACAGATGCAGTAGATTGAATTATTGTTTGGGGAAAGGACAGAACAGCAAAAATATAATATCGTTACCACAGTCCTTCATTCCAACATCACATAATCACTTAGCACTTAGCAATTAGCACTTAGCAGCCCTAACATGGGCCAGTATGTATGCTCAGATGTCTCTGTTTCTCATGTGTATATCATAGATGTTGTGTGTGACAGACCCCTCACCCTGGGCCTGTTTGTATGTGCAAGTATATACAATTAAATATGTGAGCAGTTAATTTGCAAAAACAGATATCTCTGCTTTGAAAATGTGTCCAAAAGTTGTATTCCTCGACATGTTTTGTTATTGGCAGTACATTTTCAAGGATTTGCTCTAGAGGGGGTGACATTTTGTGTATGGCACTAACATAGATCTGGCTTTTTAAAAAACGACTTGGTAAGGAACACATTGTAAGTCTTTGAAAGTATTTGCCTGAAATCTGTTGAAAAAATCAACACAGATCAGAGAATTAAACAGTTCAAACACAAGAAATGCAATGATAAAAAACACACAGAGCCATTGGTCCATAAGGGGCATAAGACCAATGTCCGTCAATGTGAACTGTGACTGAGTGGTTAGCACTCTCGCTTCTCAGTAAGAAGGTTCTGGGTTTGAATCCCTTTCGTAACAGGGCCTTTCTCAGTGGAGTTTGCATGTTCTCTCCGTGTCTGCGTAGGTTCCTCCGGGTACTCCGGTTTCCCCTCCCACTAAAAACATGTGCAATAGTTCAGGGTGAATAAATGAGTGTGTGTTTGTGAGTGTGAATGTGGGACAACAGATGCTATTCAGCCCATGGCTACAATCCGGAGTGATGTGTTCATTAACATGATTTATTTGTTATTTTATTTTTTTAAATAGTTTTTCCTTGCCGATGCAGGAGGGTCTGTTGGACAGTTAGTGTCCAACTAGAAGGATGTGGTGATGATCCAGGACACTTTAACATTCTACAACATGTATGGACATTTATTGTGTACACATGTGTACTATATTCTTTTTGTGTTTTAACTGTTGATTCTCTGATCTGTGTGTGATTCAATGGTTTTGTTAAGTCCTCTGAGATGACTTCTGTTGTGATTTAGGGCTATACAAGAATAAATTGTATTGTAATTGTGTTGTATTGTGTGTACTGTCTCATCCAAATAAACAATATGGTAAATAAATGTTGAGTGTCGTGGATCATCACTGTCCTTAGACCCTCTGCTTCAGAAGTATGTGCCTCTTATTTCTCCTGTGTATATCTTGTTCTTTATGCCCTCTCACCCTGGGGCCTGGGAATGTGTGCAAGTATATATATAAATAAATAAATCTTGCCCCTCCTGTGTATATCATGTATGTTGTTTGTGCCCCCTCACCCCGGCCTGCGTGCCCTGCTCCGCGCTGCCCCCCGGAGCGCGCTGACCGCCTTCAGGCTCCTCTCTCTGGGCCCATTGTCTGCTCCATAAGCAGCTTTGTTTCTGCATGTGCAGCTGGGCCAGCGCCGCCATTAGCCGCGCGCTAAAGGGAGAGCGTAATATAATTAGAAAACAAAAGTCAGGTGGCGCACACAGCCATGCGTTTGGGGCGCTGGCGGGTGGCCAGCTATAATTTGATTATGAAGTTGTGTGCGCCACAAAAGACACTATTGAACCTCCTTTTCTTTTATTTGTGCTTTAATTTGATTCAGTTTGGGGTTTAAAAGGACCAGTGTAGAAAGAAGATTTGCTTTTCTCATTTTCACTGCAAAAGTGGAGGATTAAATATGTGTGCTTTTGTGATAACAGACCGTTGTGTGTTCTCTCAAAAGATTCCTAAACAAAAGCATTATTACATTTCAGAGGGGAAATGCAGGTTACACATAATCACACAATCTTATTCCTGTGGCGATTTGCTGTTCTCATCAGCCTGCCCGGCCCAGACCAGTCAAACACACAAACGCTGTCTTTAAACGTCCACATTTCTGGGGTGAATAGCTGCGCCCAAAGTCCCCTGCATAAGTGTGTCCTGTGTGCGGTCAGCCTGCGCCCTGTCCGCTCCCGTGCTGCTCGGCTTGAATACAGCGCACACACAAAAGGATCAGTGACAGACCCCCTCAACCCTCCGCTGTCCCATCGGCCGACCATCGCCTTATCCTGTTAGTCACGATAGATAACCCCCCCCCCTCCTGCTCTTCCAGCACCCCTCCCACCTGCCCCGTCCCGGAACGCCCGTCATAAAACCAGATTTGGCCGGTGGCTACTGTTCAGACCAGGTCAAGCAGAAAAAGATGTGTTTATGTCGCTTTGTTTTCATCGTTTATCCCCAAAAAGGCGCTCCATTTGTTTTGTTTTTGGGGGTAGGACCGTGAGACAATGGCCACTTGTTTTAAATCCACTGCTCGCTCAGACTGACAGAGCTTATCGAGTCTGATTTTTGCGCTCGTTTTACCAGTTCTGTTTGAGGCTGTAGTTTTATCAGATCCCAAGAGACGTTCTCAATACATTCTCCAACTCTTTAAAGTGGAAATGTAGTTGGGTTACACGTCAGTAGTTCTTATATAGTCTGCTAAAGCCAGACGTTTTGGGAGGAAATATCTGGGCGGGTTTTTCTGTTTTGAGAAATATCACAATGGATTTCATTTGAGGAATTAGTGAAATAAACTATGGCTAAACCTGAGCAGTAAGGTTTCTCAGGGCTTCAGACATAGGAGTTTGACAAAGGGAACTATCAGCTTTCTGAAAGGCTCACATCATAACAGAATAAGATAAACTTTATTGATCTCACAATGGAGAAATGATATGTCACATTTAGCATGCATAGAATCACTCAGAGTGTGCAAAAAGACAAGAATAATGTCGTCCATTGATCATGTTTGAAGTTATGAGTTCACTTTGCTTTCATCAGGAAGACGTTAACCAATCATTAACCAATTGTCAATAAAAATCTTTTGTCCCAACCGCTATTAGCCCGCTCAACTCTCTGTAGCTTGTTGGTGATATGGACTTTGTGTTTTATGGTGTTTATGATTAGTCTGTATAATGTGTTTTTGCAACTGACTTGTATGTGTACTGTTTTTCATTGTATGTTTGGATTGTGAAGCTGGTCTGTGAAAGGCGCTACATAAATAAACTTGACTTACTTACTTATGTTACTGATATTTCCTGTGTTCTTATGTGTGTTTTTACAATGTTTTTTATGCCCTGTGCTGCTCAAATGAAGTGCCACTGGTGGGATAAATAAATTAGTCTGAATCTGCATCAGCAAGGTTTTTGTTGTGGGAATAATTTGGATTTGGATTAGAAAGGAGGAATCCAAATGTCTGCAACCTCTCAATCAATCTCTGAACATGTGTGTTTATTTATCAATGCATCTTTTATTTTTTTCCCAAACCAGGACATAATTAGGACTTGAACATTAACTATGGGAAAGTTAATGCCACGTTTACTCTACTCGGATTGGGAGCGTTTCCAATGGTCCTGTTTAACCATTACTAGGAACCACTTTTACTTTCTAGTGCCTGCTTGGCCCTGGTTCTATCCAAGCCAAGCTGGTAAAAAAAAATCATGCATGTGAAAACTAGAGGTAGAACCAAACTGTTTTGAAAGCGAGGAACTTGTTGCATGGAGGATGTTTGATGATTTTGGACCTACACCGGGAGATTATGTTGTTATCTGGGTTTCTTAGTTTATTATGTGTGTCTCGTCTATTAGCAACATAAATATAAAGTTATGAGCAGATTTATATTGCAATGTTTTCTGTACATCGCTGTAACAGGACAAGAAACAAATTATTTGATTTTTGGAGTTTATTCAGGTTACGCTTTATATAATGTAACTTCCACGTTAATGCTAACTCAGCATATAAAAAAAAAAAAAAGCCAACCAAAACATGTTTTAGCATAATATTAGCGTCATGTTGAAGGTTAAATTATCAATGGAGCTGCTGAGTCCAAGTCTAAATGGAACTGCTTATCTTGGCAGAGGTTTGTGCACTACGGGTGCTTTTCTTGTACTGCATAGATCCATTTTTGTGGTTGGAAAATGTAGGTTCACACCAGCTTCAATATGTCGCTGCCTTCTCGCCAAAAGTGAGAAATTAGGTCACACTGAAAGAACTCAACAGATAGATGTGTTTTGTGTAAATTTCTCAAAAAACAGAATGAATGCAGCAAAAAGTATATTTTCTTATGAACTTTTATTCCTTCTGAGCAGCAGAGTTTTTGTGTGCGCTCAGGGTGAAGCGGGGAAAGCCGAGCCGATGTACTTCTTTCCGTCTCCGTAGCTGGTTTTGTCCCAGGTGTAGGTCTGGATCCTCAGCTCTTTGCCTCCGAGACTCAAGTGACATCTGCAGCAAAAACAGGAGGGTGAAGACCAACAGAGGCATTTGACTCACAGATCCTGAAAGTATTGATTCGAAGCTTTCCAAAAAGGAATAACAAATGCAAATCTGATCATGTTTTAAGGATTGGTGCTCTTTTGAACTGAAATCCCAAAGCTGAGAAAATAACAGCCTCAAAGTTTTCCTGTTTCCAGTCCAGTTCATTTGCATCATTAGACCAGATATGTCCAAGTCTTTGAGATCATAGTATTTCTATTTTTTGACCAGTTTAGTTTAGGAGTATGACGATATATCGATATCGTGATGTATCGTGATACTTTCTCACGCGATCAATTATCGATATACTTTTGCCAAGTATTGATTTTAAAAAATGAAAAATGAAAAATGAAATATTTTATTTTTTTAAATTAGTATCAATACTTTAATGGCATCTCCATTCCATTTATCATGAAATCAAGCGTATTTTTTCACTTAACATTTTTCTTTTATTTATGCCAATATGTGCTGTATATGAATCCAGAGTTGAGAATTAGTTAATAACTTACACTTATAACTATTTTGTGTTCATTGATTGACTGCGGAACCTTCCGCAGTCAACCATTGGTTTTGTATTTCTTTATTCCGTCATTTTTTTTGACACGTTTCACAGCTTTCACATTTTCAACAATTTCCACAAGTTATACATCAAAACGTTCCACATGTTTGGGAGATTATTGCTATTACTTTTGGGACTTCAGCGATTTCCGGTTTTTCCGCAATCGGACAAAAATCTGCATTGAGAATTCTGCAATGCATTTTAATAGGCCCATGCATTTTAATAGGACTTCAGCTCTTTCAGACATTTCTACAGTTTCAATGATTCAACAGTTTCAAGGATTCAACAGTTTCAAGGATTTCAGCAGTTTCAAGATTTCAAGAGTTTCAAGGACTTCAACAGTTTCAAGGACTTCAGCAGTTTCAAGGACTTCAGCAGTTTCAAGGACTTCAGCAGTTTCAAGGACTTCAGTGTAATCATGCAACCTAATAGGGATTTTTCCATGTAAACCAGTATAATGCAACTTAATAGGGATTTTTCCATGTAAACCAGTATAATGCAACTTAATAGGGTTTTTTCATGTAAACCAGTATAATGCAACTTAATAGGGGTTTTTTCCATGTAAACCAGTATAATGCAACTTAATAGGGGTTTTTACATGTAAACCAGTATAATGCAACTTAATAGGGTTTTTTCCATGTAAACCAGTATAATGCAACTTAATAGGGTTTTTTTCCATGTAAACCAGTACAATGCAACTTAATAGGGATTTTTCCATGTAAACCAGTATAATGCAACTTAATGGGGATTTTTCCATGTAAACCAGTATAATGCAACTTAATGGGGATTTTTCCATGTAAACCAGTATTATGCAACTTAATAGGGATTTTTCCATGTAAACCAGTATAATGCAACTTAATAGGGATTTTTCCATGTAAACCAGTATAATGCAACTTAATGGGGATTTTTCCATGTAAACCAGTATTATGCAACTTAATAGGGGTTTTTACATGTAAACCAGTATAATGGAACTTAATAGGGGTTTTTACATGTAAACCAGTATAATGCAACTTAATAGGGATTTTTACATGTAAACCAGTATAATGCAACTTAATAGGGATTTTTCCATGTAAACCAGTATAATGCAACTTAATAGGGTTTTTTACATGTAAACCAGTATAATGCAACTTAATAGGGATTTTTCCATGTAAACCAGTATAATGCAACTTAATAGGGTTTTTTACATGTAAACCAGTATAATGCAACTTAATAGGGGTTTTTACATGTAAACCAGTATAATGCAACTTAATAGGGATTTTTCCATGTAAACCAGTATAATGCAACTTAATGGGGATTTTTCCATGTAAACCAGTATAATGCAACTTAATGGGGATTTTTCCATGTAAACCAGTATTATGCAACTTAATAGGGATTTTTCCATGTAAACCAGTATAATGCAACTTAATAGGGATTTTTCCATGTAAACCAGTATAATGCAACTTAATGGGGATTTTTCCATGTAAACCAGTATTATGCAACTTAATAGGGGTTTTTACATGTAAACCAGTATAATGGAACTTAATAGGGGTTTTTACATGTAAACCAGTATAATGCAACTTAATAGGGATTTTTACATGTAAACCAGTATAATGCAACTTAATAGGGATTTTTCCATGTAAACCAGTATAATGCAACTTAATAGGGTTTTTTACATGTAAACCAGTATAATGCAACTTAATAGGGATTTTTCCATGTAAACCAGTATAATGCAACTTAATAGGGTTTTTTACATGTAAACCAGTATAATGCAACTTAATAGGGGTTTTTACATGTAAACCAGTATAATGGAACTTAATAGGGGTTTTTACATGAAAACCAGTATAAAGGATAACAGTTTAAAGGATATCAGGAGCTTCAAATACTTCAGGAGTTTCAAAGATGTTTAAAGTATTTTAACAGTTTCAAGGATTTCAAGGATTTTTCAGCTAAATTCCACATTAGATCTGTTCCGCAGTCAATCGCAATGGCTTCAGCCATTGCAACGGTTTCTAGTTCAGATTGCTTTACTAAAAGATTTCTATAACAGTATATTTCTGACCACAGATGGAAAAAGTGGTGGCGGAAACTTCAGTTCTGTCAAATGTGAATCAATAAGGATATATCATTGCCCATTTTAAAGCTTAGAACCCACCGAATCCAGTCAAAACCGTTTTCCAATCTGGCCCCAGGAAAGGCCTGGTGAACTAAAGTGACCCCTGTACTAAAATGTTTTGACACCCCTGCATTAGACGAATGTTATCTGAGACACTGAGTATGTTTACAAAGCCTGAGAATACAGAGTACGTTCAAAATGGAACTGATCCTGAACAACATGAGTGTGACTCCTATACAGTAGGTACTTGATTTGAAAAAAATGACGCAAGCTCCCTCCCCCTTCCTTTCTGATTGGTCTACACCTACGTTTCCGTAACACTTTTAAATGTTAATCTGAGAACACATTATACATATACATTATTAATACACATGCACGAAGGTTTTCAGAATTATTATCATTAACGTTTTCATGACAAAAATAATGTTTTAATGCACAAAAAAAGAGATCGCTGCAAACCCAGAAGAAGCTATTTTCATTGATTGAACATTATAGGACACATCTGCAGAGGATCTGATTATGGATATAGGTTCATTGTATAAATGATTATGGATATAGGTTCATTGTATAAATTATTATGGATATAGGTTCAGTATATAAATGATTATGGTGATAGGTTCAGTATATAAATGATTATGGATATAGGTTCAGTATATAAATGATTATGGATATAGGTTCAGTATATAAATGATTATGGATATAGGTTCAGTATATAAATGATTATGCATATAGGTTCAGTATATACATAAGTACCTCAGCGCGGATGTTCAGAATTCTTTGTTCAGTTTTCATGTATTTCCAGAGCCTAATAGAGGCTTGATTCGGAGGCTCCGTGAAAACAAACAACTGAGGATGCTCGCAGCTACAAGCATCAGCGCCGATGATTGACAGCCCTTGGCATGACTCGATTGGTTAACCTCGACGGCATCGTGGATTCTGAACTATAGCTAAGAGCAGGGAAGGCGGGACTTACCCGTAATATCAGAAATTAATAAAATGACTTATTTTTTTATCAACATTTAAGTCCAGGAGGTCAATTTAATACAATTCTTAAAATTTGTAATTCATTTAGAGTTACAGACTATCACTTTAAACACATCACTGTCTTTTGTTTCTTGAGGATCCGAACACAGATCAGAGAATCAAACCGTTCAAACACCACTGTCCTGGAGTAAACTGGAGTGTGTGTCTTTATGGGATATTGAATTGTGTTCCTGTTCTACTGTGAGGGGCTTTAGAAAGACCTTTTCAAAACTGTTTGTTATTCTGGTGTTTTTTTTCTGTAAAATTGTGTTGGTTTTGAGGTAAAAATCTTGATTGGTTGATATCTATTGATGTCACTCACCTTTTCCCGGGGCGTGTGATGTAGCAGAGGCTGTAGAGGGCGAAGTCGAACTCGGGACTGCAGCCGATCACAGCCGAGCCCACCTGCTTGAAGTACCCGTCCCACTTAAACTGCAGCCCCAGCACGTCCGGGTACGAGCTCCACTGGGAACACAAGACACAAACAGAAATGAGAAAAAGACCAGCTGAGGGCGAGCTGTTTTTCTCTGTTCATGGCAGGTGTCTCCAACATTTTTTCACCCAGACACATTTGGGCACTATTTGGCTAGTGGAGGAGTGTGTGTGTGTGTGTGTGTGTGTGTGTGTGTTTGGGTGCGGTACACGAGATTATGAATGGGCACACACCTACTGGGGCACGGTACATGGTTTGGGTGGCCATAATTTTTGGTGACCGCAATTATAATTTTGTATAATTTTATTTTTTGCTATTTTTCTGCCCTACATTTATTTATGCATTTTTTCTGTATATTCACCACACATTTAACCTGTGACCAGCATTTATCCTCACCATTGTTTTTTATACCAATTTAGCTTGTCATACACGTTTATTGGACCCATCTCATATCAGGCAACAGCTAGCCGCTATACTGGTATTATAATAGAGCCATTAGTGCGCCCAGATGCTTGGTCAGACTTGGTCAGAAGGCAAATTAAATGTCGAGTGTTTTAGCGCAGTGGGAATGGGGCAATCGAAACCAAAACACAACACATGGTTTGTACTCACAGGTCCGGTGAAGCTGTGGCTGTAGTAGTTAAGCTCTCCTCTCTTCTCCAGGAGATAAAACTGGATCCAATTGTGGAAACCGGACACTTTTCCTCCCTTAACTTCACCTGTTTCAAGGAGGATAAGTTTAATAACTTCAAACAAAGAGTAAGTAGAAGGCAATCGAGTCCAAACCAGTGGGGGAGGGTCCCGGCTCAAAAGTGGCCAAAATGACGTGCGCTGACATGCTTGCAATACCAACCGGGGCCGATGGGGGTGGACCCGGAATAAGAATTAGCCAATGCTAACATATAGCATCTTCTTACCTCTCAAAAACGTCTTTACAGGATGGTCCTAAACCTGGCTCTTGGACCCAAAGGTCCTTTCCACATGTGTGCTAATGCTGAGGGGAGTGAATTTTTTTGGACACTCGATTAAATGAATGGAGCTTGTGCCGGCTGACGCATGCGCAGATACGTTTTTTCACATTTTCCAGCCCCCGCGGCCATTTTCAATCACTCCATGAGAGCCCAATTTTTGGCCCATTAGTTAGAACGGCGGTAATATATACAGTCTATGGTCCAAACCTGCAAAGATGTGCTCGAAGCCGCTGGAGTCCAGTTGGCCGCTGCTGCGTGAGTAAAGGCCAAACCACATGTTCTTCAAGTCCTGAATGAAGTCCTCCTCTGACGAATACACTCCTGAAACAACCACACACACATTCAGTTCAACACAAACCAATATCTTTACCCAAAACCTTTCTGGAGCTTAGTTAACCTTTGTGATTACCTCGGGACACAATGACCCACCACATATGATTAAAAGAAGAAGAAAAATACCCAAAATCTAAAAGGTTCAACAACAAAAATCAGCAAAATAATAAAAAAGTTTGTGAAAAGAAAAGATTTCAATGGGTGTCAGAGGACAAGTCAAAACTATAAAGGATGATTGTGTAACTATAGTGTCATCATGTGTATTATATTTGATATGTGAAAGCTGCAACACACACACATACACACACACTAGGTTGATTGCAAACCAATATATTTATTTAAAACCACTCTTTTAACTCATTGAATGCCAGCCTATTTCAGAACAGGTACTCCCATAGTGCCAGCCATTTCTGATGATTTTTACTGATTTTTCAAGACCCACAGAATATTGTGTACTATGACTATCTGAAATCCGACACCAGATTCTAAAAGAATGGACTGTCTATTCCTCAGCAAAAAGAATTTTGTTTATAGCTTTTTTCGTTCCCCTGTAATCCTCCGTTGAGTAGAGGGAAGTTTTACTGAAATCACCAGAAATCACCAGAAAGTTGAGAAAAAAGAGGCACAACATGTGCACCTACATGTTTTCAAACCTGGAAAGATTGTAAATGATAATGATATAAAGACGGATGGAGCAAAGTACAGGTAATATTTGAAGAAAACTTGTTGGAGTCTGAAAAACACATGGAGCCGATATTTAGCTTTCATAAGGACAATAACCCAAAAACAAAGACAAAATTACTATGGAATAAAGGAAAAACGTGTGTTAGAATAGTTCAGTCAAAGTCAGGACCTAAATCCAGTTGAAATTGTGTGGAAATAGCTCGAGAATGATGGTGTTTCTACCTTTGGAGGAGAGGAACATGAAGAGCTCTCGTCCCACTTCGGTGTTGGACATGGTCTGTCTCACAAAGGCGTCCTGCTCGTTCAGCTGCTGCTCGCTGAACGTCTCTGTCTGCCCCGTCATCCGCCTGTAGTTGTCCAGCACGGCCAGCAGGGCGGCGTATGTGGGCCTGGAGAATAGAGCCTCCTCGTCCAGGTAACGGAACAAGCTGCAGGGAGAGGAACAGACCACAATTTAAAACGTTTTATTGTTTCAGGCCAAAAGTACTTATACATCTAAGGGAGGAAGGCTCGGGACAACAGGAAGTGGAGGGGTGTTTTTTGGAACCTTGTCGGCTTTTCACCGCAGACTAGATTGGGACCCAGGACCAGAGGGAGCTAGTGTATCACCCACCTATATAAGCAATATAAACCATTTTGAAATTATTATTTAAATATCCATTGAATATTGACATTAGGTATTTTTATTAGTCCCTAAGTAAAAAATGTTATGTATTATTTTTGAACAATAAAAAATGTAGTGAGACCTTTTACTTTGTCATTTCATGTTAAAGAAAGTGAATTCCTATCTTCAATTGGAAATATATGCTGAAACCAGGATGAAGGGTAAAAAATGCGATCCACCTGTAACTCTCTATGCTACCACCAGAGGGACGAGTTGAATTTGTTGGAGGTTCTTTCAAATTTGAAAAGACTGGAGCTTTTTTATATTAGCGTGGATGGATCTAAAAACTATACAAATATACAATGACTTGCAAGCTGGAGTTTCCCCCATGAATGAAGTCCTCTGATTGGTCAACCCTTTTATGGCTCATTTCTAGATCTACAAAGACCATATCAAAATACACACAAACGGTTACTGAGCCAGAGGAGTTTAATTTTCACTTCCCTAATTGGGCTAGCACTGAGCTCGTGGGTTAGCATTGTCCATCTTTATACGGTCTGTGATTGAGCCATGGATGTCATGTGCTATGTCCTCTCTATGGGCTCAGGAAGTGTCCATATATGGCGTCCTCACGGTTTTGTGGCGAGGTCTTTCTGGGAGCCGGTCTGTGAGTCGGAGATCAGGGCCTGTGGGTCGATGATGAGCTGAGACCCGGACGCTTTGTTTGAGTCCAGAGCGAAAAGAGCCTCAGATACAGACTTGATCTCTGCATCTGTCACTGCACTGCCACCGGCGCCACCTACGGACCACAGCAAGCATTACAACTCAACCACACGCTATTATCTCAGCACCTGGTCGCTGTGTTGTCTGCCTCTGCGACCTGGCTACGGATTAAGCGGAAGAAACTGTGTTGTTTATTTGTTTATTTGTTTACTTGTTTCATTGTATTTTGTTTTGTATGATTAAGTTTGAAGTTTGAACTATTTATAAAAGTTCAGAGTCTGTTTTTCAGAAAACATTATACAGCGGCCTTAATTCCACATCATGCGGCCAAATTTGCGACTTGCTCATACGTCATTTACACAAAAAGTGAACTTCCTTTTCATTTCCGATCTCTCACGGATCTTATTTAAAGCTCGTCAGCTGTCGTTTTGGTTTTGGTTTGACACAAAAATAGCCATTTGGCCAGTTTCAGTTCTTCTGTGTGAGCGAGTGCAGGTGCGGGCTCTGTGAGAAGGACACAGGTGTGAGACATGTGACCCTGCTGTCACGTGTGTGTCTGTGTGTACGTGTGTGTGTCTGTGTGTACGTGTGTGTGCCTGTGTGTACGTGTGTGTGTCTGCGTGTACATGTGTGTGTCTGTGTGTACGTGTGTGTGTCTGCATGTACATGTGTTTGTCTGTCTGTACATATGTGTGTCTGTGTGTACGTGAGTGTCTGTGTGTACGTGTGTGTGTCTGCGTGTACATGTGTGTGTCTGTGTGTACGTGTGTGTGTCTGCGTGTACATGTGTTTGTCTGTCTGTACATATGTGTGTCTGTGTGTACGTGTGTGTCTGTGTGTACGTGTGTGTCTGTGTGTACGTGTGTGTCTGTGTGTACGTGTGTGTCTGTGTGTACGTGTGTGTCTGTGTGTACGTATGTGTCTGTGTGTACATGTGTTTGTCTGTCTGTACATATGTGTGTCTGTGTGTACATATGTGTGTCTGTGTGTACGTGTGTGTGTCTGTGTGTACATATGTGTGTCTGTGTGTACATATGTGTGTCTGTGTGTACATATGTATGTCTGTGTGTGTTTGAGTGTATGTTTGTGTCTGTGTGTACATGTGTGTGTGTCTGTGTGTACATATGTGTGTCTATCTGTACATGTGTGTGCCCGTGTGTACATGTGTGTGCCTGTGTGTACATGTGTGTGTCTGAGTGTACATATGTGTGTCTGTGTGTACATATGTGTGTCTATGTGTACAGGTGTGTGTCTATGTGTGTTTGAGTGTACGTTTGTGCCTGTGTGTACATGTGTGTGCCTGTGTGTACATGTGTGTGTCTGTCTGTACATGTGTTTGTCTGTCTGTACATATGTGTGTCTGTGTGTACATATGTGTGTCTGTGTGTACATGTGTGTGTCTGTCTGTACATGTGTTTGTCTGTCTGTACATATGTGTGTCTGTGTGTACATATGTGTGTCTGTGTGTACAGGTGTGTGTCTGTGTGTGTTTGAGTGTACGTGTGTGTCTGTGTGTACATGTGTGTGTCTGTGTGTACATATCTGTGTCTATCTGTACATGTGTGTGTCTGTCTGTACATGTGTTTGTCTGTGTGTACATTTGTGTGTCTGTGTGTACATGTGTGTGCCTGTGTGTACATGTGTGTGTTTGAGTGTACATGTGTGTGTCTGTGTGTACATGTGTGTGTCTGTCTGTACATGTGTTTGTCTGTCTGTACATATGTGTGTGTGTGTGTACATATGTGTGTCTGTCTGTACAGGTGTGTGTACATGTGTGTTTGAGTGTATGTGTGTGTCTGTGTGTACATGTGTGTGTCTGTGTGTACATGTGTGTGTCTGTCTGTACATATGTGTGTCTGTGTGTACATGTGTGTGTCTGTGTGTACATGTGTGTGTCTGTCTGTACATGTGTTTGTCTGTCTGTACATATGTGTGTCTGTGTGTACATATGTGTGTCTGTGTGTGTTTGAGTGTATGTGTGTGTCTGTGTGTACATATGTGTGTCTATCTGTACATGTGTGTGTCTGTCTGTACATGTGTTTGTCTGTGTGTACGTTTGTGTGTCTGTGTGTACATGTGTGTGTCTGTCTGTACATGAGTGTGTCTGTGTGTACATGTGTGTGTCTGAGTGCACATGTGTGTGTCTGTGTGTACATGTGTGTGTGTGTGTGTGTGTATGTGTGTGTCTGAGTGTATATGTGTGTCTGTGTGTGTTTGGACATGTATGGTTTTTGTCAAGAGGAGAGTTTGGTTGTAGCAGCGATGCTAATTTATAGCTGTCGTCCCTGAGCAGGTTGTTGTAAAACAGTTAAATAAAAGTAGACGGACAATGACCGACAGTTATCAAGCAGAAATGACAGTTTATTTATCTTACAAGTTATAATAAAACCACCCATCCCCCATTCTTCACTTTCTCTCTATAAAAAACGTCCATATAATGAGCAGGACACACACACACACACACACACACACAAACACACAGACACTCATCACACATGGGAACATATTTGTCTTTCCAAGTGTGTGTGTGTGTGTGTTTGTGCGTGCTTGTGTGTGTGTGTGTGTGTGTGTGTGTGTGTGTGTGTGTGTGTGTGTGTGTGTGTGTGTGTGTGTATGTGCGTGCTTGTGTGTGTGTGTGTGTGTGTGGGTGTGTGTGTGTGTGTGTGTATGTGTGTGTGTATGTGCGTGCTTGTGTGTGTGTGTGTGTGTGTTTTTAGGTGGTTTGGGCAGACTCACACACGTCGCTGTAGTCGTCGCAGCAGTTGTTGTACTGGGAGCACTTGGAGTTGCAGTGGCACTCGTCCTGATGGTTGTAGCCCTCATCACAGCGGCCTTTACAGGAAGTGGCGGCTGGAGACGACACACAACATGACAGGACTGACCGCACAAACAGTAAAAGAACATGAAACATCCAACACGGATCAACATCAACAATTTGGGAGTCCTAGTGTTTAAAGCACTCTGCGTAGAGATGAGATCAGGAACAGCATACAGGAGGCGCACGTCAGACATATTGCACACATTATTAGTGGTAGGGGAAACCGGAGCACCCGGAGGAAACCTAAGCAGACACAGAGAGAATATGCAATCTCCACAAAGAAAGGTCTGGAGGTGGAATCGAACCCAGCATGTGGTCTCTGGAGCGGGTGTGGGTGAGTTCTGGATATACTACAATTTGGGTAATAACATTGAGTTAATAGTTTGGGTTCGGTTACACTGCTGTGAGGCACAAGCGCTAACCACTGCGCCACCGTGGTTAGCATGTGAGTATGTGCAGTGGGGGTCTCCCATTGAAACCCTTACCAGGCCTCGCACTGCTTAGCTTTAGAAACATACAGCCACACACATAAATCAAGCGCTTGTTAATGTTTTCCTTGTTTGCCTTGTTTGTGATTCTGCGTCTTACATTTGCAGAATTGAGCGTAGTCGTTGCAGCAGTCTCCGTATTTCTCACACGACGGATTACACTGACACGAGAAGTCCGAGTCTGTGCCGAACTCACAGCGGGCCTCGCACGACTCCAGCGAGTCTGCGAAACAATCAATAGTGCATCAGTTTTATACAGCGCTGGTATTTTAATTCACTGTTGGGACGTTACAATTATTTAGAAACAACAGACAAACTTTGAGAAAAAGTTCAATCTTGTTGACATTAATGATGATAATAATAAGAATAATAATAGTATTTTGGACCCTCAAAGATGTTTTGCAAAAGGAAAGGTTAATAAAAAGCTCAAATAAACTGTAAAGCAAAGCCAGTTTTGAACAGGTGGGTTTTGAGCAGTGATTTGAAGTTTCTGAGTCCGAGTTTCTGATGTGTTGTGGAAGTCAGTTCCAGAGAGTCTGAGCAGCAAAGGCTCGGTCCTCCGGGTTCAGACTCAGTCCTCAGGGTTCAGACTCAGTCCTCCGGGTTCAGACTCAGTCCTCCGGGTTCAGACTCAGTCCTCAGGGTTCAGACTCAGTCCTCCGGGTTCAGACTCAGTCCTCAGGGTTCGGCGGGACGGACAGTGCTGATGGAGGAGGTCGGTGAGGGTGCCAGGTTATGAAGAGACTTTTGGTGATGAGGAGGACCTTATTTTGAATGCAGTATTGAACGGGGAGCTGGGGAGTTGTTTGAGGATGGGGGTGATGTGGTCTCTGGAGCGGGTGTGGGTGAGTTCTGGATTTACAACAATTTGGGTAATAACATTGAGTTATTAGTTTAATTTACTCACAATAAAGAAATTAACCAATATAATTCAAGCTTGTACTTTAGCTACCTCTGCAAATAGTGACTACAAGGCTCTGTCTAAAAAGATAAAAAATGTGACTCTTTCTGATGGGACAAACAAAATGTACCAAAGATAAGTACACCACAGACACTAATATTTACAACGCTGGCATCAAACGTTTACGTAATTTTTTATTGTTTGCATTCAAGAGATATCAGCACATTCCAAAGAGCCTGCAGTTTCACGTTGGGGTGGAGGGCAGTGGAACCACCTGTCCTGGAACTATGGCAAGTGTCAAAAGTCAGATTCTAATCTCAGCTAAGAGAGGATTTCTCTGTAATACTGGGAACATTCAACAAGTTTCACATCTTCTTTTTCAGCACTTATCAACTATGATCTAAGTATTCTCTCTCTCTGGCAGTGATGGGAATAACGGCGTTACTAGTAACGGCGTTACTAACGCCGTTACTTTTTTCAGTAACGAGTAATCTAACTAATTACTTTGACAGTAACTATAACGCCGTTATCATTTCCGACATCCCGTTACTGCGCGTTACTCAAGACGCACAATGAACGTGTTGTCATGAGAGAAGGGAGGATGAGAAAACCTCTCAGCAATTATTGGCTGATGTAAATCATATTTCCTTTACAATCTACATGTCTACAGTTGAGAGGATGGCTCATAAATTGTGTTTTTGAAACAAATATGGGTCTTAATCGCGCTCAACCACGGCTTGTATCACCGTGAGGTCAGCCACAGAGGAGCGCATGTGAGCGCAGAAGTCGGCTGCATACAATTCCATCGATAAGCTCCTTGCTCTTCCTGGTTTATCTGCTAAGGACAGCAACAGGTTTGGCTAACATACATATAACACATTTTTACATAATCTAAAATGCACATAGGGTAATTTTTCAATTACTATATGAATGATAAGAAAGAGAGGTGAAGTGTAAGACGGTTGATTTTAGAAATTGGATGCAGCCGGCTGCAGCAAAACAGAGGAGTTTACGGAGGACCCACGCGTTTTGTTTTACTTTTTAAAACTCATTGGACTCATTTCCAAATGGAGGATTACATATCTACGCTCAAACCATTCACTGGATTTAAACAAGGAACTGGTCTGAACCGAAGTGGACTGTGCAGGTCATTTATAAGGTAAGACCCATAACTCATAGTTTTGCGTTTTGTATGAACAAACAATGCGGGCATAAAACATATTTTGCTGTAGCCAAACAAATTGTCCACTTGATTTATATGATGTATATGTTCATCTGATTGGACTGAAGTCAGTGCTTCACCAGCCTCACCGCTCGTCACCGGTGTTTCCACATTCACAGTGGAGCGTGTTGTGTTTAGTGCTTACAGCACAGAGAGAGAAGAAGAGTGAACAGGACTTCAGCAGCAAAACAGCCTTTTCTAGATGGAAATATTGGCACTGTTAAAGGTAAAAATGCGCACGTCGGGTGCACATTATGTTCCAGAACAAAACGAAAAAGTAACGCAATAGTTACTTTTACTGGTAACTAGTTACTTTTATAGTGGAGTAACTCCGTTAGTAACTCAGTTACTTTTTGGGAGAAGTAACTAGTAACTATAACTAATTACTTTTTCAAAGTAACGTGCCCAACACTGCTCTCTGGTCTCTCTCTGATCTCTCTCTGGTCTCTTTCTGGTCTCTTTCTGGTCTCTCTCTGGTCTCTCACTTGTCTCTCACTTGTCTCTCTCTGGTCTCTCTCTGGTCTCTCTGGTCTCTCTCTGATCTCTCTCTGGTCTCTCTCTGGTCTCTCTCTGGTCTCTCTGGTCTCTCTCTGGTCTCTTTATGGTCTCTCTCTGGCCTCTCTCTGGTCTCTCTCTGGTTTCTCTCTGGTCTCTCACTTGTCTCTCTGGTCTCTCTCTGATCTCTCTCTGGTCTCTTTATGGTCTCTCTCTGGTCTCTCATTTGTCTCTCTCTGTTCTCTTTATGGTCTCTCTCTGGTCTTTCTCTGGTCTCTCTCTGGTCTCTCTCTGGTCTCTCTCTGGTCTTTCTCTGTCTCTCTCTGGTCTCTCTCTGGTCTCTCTCTGGTCTCTCTCTGGTCTCTCTCTGGTCTTTCTCTGGTCTCTCTCTGGTCTCTCTCTGGTCTCTCTCTGGTCTCTCTCTGGTCTCTCTCTGTTCTCTTTATGGTCTCTCTCTGGTCTTTCTCTGGTCTCTCTCTGGTCTCTCTCTGGTCTCTCTCTGGTCTTTCTCTGGTCTTTCTCTGGTCTTTCTCTGGTCTCTCTCTGGTCTCTCTCTGGTCTCTCTCTTGTCTCTCTCTGGTCTCTCTCTGGTCTTTCTCTGGTCTCTCTCTGGTCTCTCTCTGGTCTTTCTCTGGTCTCTCTCTGGTCTCTCTCTGGTCTTTCTCTGGTCTTTCTCTGGTCTCTCTCTGGTCTCTCTCTGGTCTCTCTCTGGTCTTTCTCTGGTCTCTCTCTGGTCTCTCTCTGGTCTCTCTCTGGTCTCTCTCTGGTCTTTCTCTGGTCTTTCTCTGGTCTCTCTCTGGTCTTTCTCTGGTCTCTCTCTGGTCTCTCTCTGGTCTCTCTCTGGTCTTTCTCTGGTCTTTCTCTGGTCTTTCTCTGGTCTTTCTCTGGTCTCTCTCTGGTCTCTCTCTGGTCTCTCTCTGGTCTCTCTCTGGTCTCTCTCTGGTCTTTCTCTGGTCTCTCTCTGGTCTCTCTCTGGTCTCTCTCTGGTCTTTTCTGGTCTCTCTCTGGTCTCTCTCTGGTCTCTCTCTGGTCTCTCTCTGGTCTCTCTCTGGTCTCTCTCTGGTCTCTCTCTGGTCTCTCTCTGGTCTTTCTCTGGTCTCTCTCTGGTCTCTCTCTGGTCTTTCTCTGGTCTCTCTCTGGTCTCTCTCTGGTCTCTCTCTGGTCTCTCTCTGGTCTCTCTCTGATCTCTCTCTGGTCTCTTTCTGGTCTCTCTCTGGTCTCTCACTTGTCTCTCTCTGTTCTCTTTATGGTCTCTCTCTGGTCTTTCTCTGGTCTCTCTCTGGTCTCTCTCTGGTCTCTCTCTGGTCTTTCTCTGTCTCTCTCTGGTCTCTCTCTGGTCTCTCTCTGGTCTCTCTCTGGTCTCTCTCTGGTCTCTCTCTGGTCTCTCTCTGGTCTTTCTCTGGTCTCTCTCTGGTCTCTCTCTGGTCTCTCTCTGGTCTCTCTCTGGTCTCTCTCTGTTCTCTTTATGGTCTCTCTCTGGTCTTTCTCTGGTCTCTCTCTGGTCTTTCTCTGGTCTTTCTCTGGTCTTTCTCTGGTCTTTCTCTGGTCTCTCTCTGGTCTCTCTCTGGTCTCTCTCTGGTCTCTCTCTGGTCTCTCTCTGGTCTTTCTCTGGTCTCTCTCTGGTCTCTCTCTGGTCTCTCTCTGGTCTTTCTCTGGTCTCTCTCTGGTCTCTCTCTGGTCTCTCTCTGGTCTTTCTCTGGTCTTTCTCTGGTCTCTCTCTGGTCTCTCTCTGGTCTCTCTCTGGTCTCTCTCTCCTATTAACTCTGGTCTCCTTATCTCCTCATACACATATCTAGAAGCAGTGACATTATTCAAAAACAGATATATAAGAATAATATTCCAGTTTACATAAATCTACTCCCGATCAAATAACAATCTGGGGAAACACTCGGACATGTTCATTCAACAATTCTTTCAAAAATGGCTTCTTTCCCATTGAGTTGCTTTGGCACCTGCTGAAACACTGAAACACAATACAATAGAAAATGTGTCCTCTGCTTTTGACCCATCCTTCAGTGCCATCCCTGCACACGTCAGATCATGTCGCAGTCCTGCCCTGGCTAAGAAATAATTAACGGACCGATAAGGAGTGTCCAACTGAATTTTCCCATTGCACCAACAACATGCACCACGTCCAAGTTATAATCCATAAATAGTGTGATAACAAACACACTATGAAACAGCAGGAATGGCATCTGCTCACAGCCAGACACATGGACGTGTTCCCATAGAGATGAAAGTCTGTTCACTGCTGTTACAAAGTCAAAATAATAATAAAAAAGAAGCGGCTCTTAAAAACACAATTTAGCAAGAATTTAAACTTGCAATTATAACATCAGTGTCTCACGTTTTGAATGTCATCTGTAAATTCAGCAAAAACAGTGACTTCTCAATAGAAAGAGTTGGATAAAAGTGACGTATGAACCCATTTGTTGACCATATTTTGCGTTTGATTTTAAAAAGCAGAAGACTTACTGGTGTGTGCGAGGCCACAGAGAGCCAGAAGCATCAGAGCAGAGGCTGTCTTCATGGCTGCTTGGTTCATGTGAGACACAGTTTGAGAAAATTACTGCATTTTATGTTGATGTGGGAGGAGCCCAGATGTCACTGCACTGTCAGCACTGCTCCATGTGGCAAGGCAAGTTTATTTGTATAGCACAATTCATACACAAGGCAACTCAAAGTGCTGAACAAAACAAGATAGCATTAAAAAAAAAGCATAAATAATCACAGAACATTAAAAAGGAAGATTAAAATATAAAATTGTTGTATGCACAGCTAAACAGAACTGTTTTTATCCTGGTTTTAAACATTGTCAGAGAGGAGGCCTGTCTCACATCTTCAGGAAGATTGTTCCAGATTTTAGCAGCATGAATCTGAAAAGCAGCCTCCCCATGTTTAGTTCTGACTCTGGGCACTAACAGGAGTCCAGTCCCTGTGCTCCTCAGAGTCCGGGCTGGTTCATATGGTGTCTTTAACAGATACATGTTAAAAATACTGACAAATCTATTGATGAGGATACTTTTATGATTTCTTCCTCCTTTCAGAATGTGCAATATTTGATTTGATTTATTAAGGGAAAACCCCTTGAGATGCAGCATCTCATTTTCGAGAGGGTCCCCTGAACATAAAACAAACAAACACAATACAAAGCTAATATAGAACCATATGTATCCTGTATCGCGCCTTCCTTAGTCACTTTGTCGCAGACCCTCATGCTGCTAATGTACAGATGTAAACAAACAACTATAAATGTCTTACACGAGAATCTACTTGCTTCTTTTTTAGGCTAAAGTCAGAGATTGTACACTTAAGTCTTCTTCTTCATTAGTCTAAATATGGAGATTTTAGACTTGCTCGGTATTATGCCATAGTTTTTGCCATGAGACTGTTTTTTTTTAGCAGTAGTGTAGTTATTGGTAATTTATCTTGTGTTGTGTGCTCCTCATTCCTACTGTTCTCTGATGCAACACTGAAATTTCTCCGCTGTGTGACGAGTAAGGGATTTTTTATTCTTACTCTTAATCCTCCTCACGTGTCTGTGGGAATCAGGGCATCTGTCTTCAGCAGAGGTGGAAAGAGTCACAGTATTTTGTAATCCTCTAGAGATAAAGTCTCTAAAACAAAACAACTGAAAAAATCTGTAAAAGGAAAGAATTAATGATAAAAAAAAACTGTAATCTGAGGTCCTGTAGATTAGCCTCTGATGATTCTGAATACTCTAATTAGAAGTGGGGTCAATCTGCACAGAGAAAGACCAAACTCCACAGCCTGCATGTTCTTTGGTAAATATAAACTTTAGGTAGAGCTGGTGTCAGAGGGTAGTTCTATTTATTGGACTGTGACGGTTGGGTTTGGACAATTCCCTTTCTCTGCTCAACAATCCAACGTGCTGATGACACAGAAGCAAAGAACAGGGAAACACACTCCAAAAGCAGCTGCTCACGTTTCTGATGTAAACAAACAGTTCCAGTCATCAGTCAGTCACTATCAGCGTACGTGTGAGTCGCACTGCACTGTGGGAAATGTAGTGTAGTGTTCGGCGGCAAGGTGGCGCAGTGGTTAGTGCGTGTGATTCACAGCAAGAAGGTCCTGGGTTCGATTTCCAATTCTTTTGTGTGAGGAGTTTGCATGTTCTTTATGTGTCTGCGTGTGATTTTGTACTGGCGACCTGCTCCCATCTCTGTGTGGAGTGCATTGTAAAATAATATCCATCCATCCATCCATCCATTTTCTTCCCCTTAATCCATTTCTGGGTCGGGGGGGTGGCAGTCAGAGCTGCACCCAGTACACTTAGCACCAGCCGCTCACTGATCCTCCTGCAGGTGGTGAGTCCACAGGAGCTGAGATCTTTCAGTGGGAGCTTCAGGCAAAGTGGGGTTAAGTGTCTTGCCCAAGGACACAACGACAGTATTCATCAGTGGGAGTCGTGAAGTAGGTCTTATGGTGGGCTCGAACCCACGACCTTCAGGCCCAAAGGCCAATGCTCTACCAACTGAGCTACTGTCGCCCCAAAATAAAATAATAATAATAATAATAATAATAATAATAATAATAATAATAATAATAATAATAATAATAATAATAATAATAATAATAATAATAATAATAATAAAAATGCATCGGTTTTATATAGCACTATTTTGGACACTCAAAGACCCTTCACATGTCATCATTCATTCACTCCATACACCAGCTGTGGCTACAGAAGTTGTTTACCACCGTGGTAAACAACTACTGTAGCCACAGCTGCCCTGGGGCACACTGACAGAAGATGTCTGCCCATTCAGATCAATGGACTCCGCTCATTGGTTCATGCTCACACCATGAACATCCCAAAGTGACGGGTTCTGGCCATCTCTGGTTCTCCTGGTCTTGTACAGTAAGTGTGCAGTGGTTCTACCTCCGCAGGACCAGATTAACTTGTAAACCTTCAAACCAATCACAGCACCGTGAATCAAAGTGAAGCTATATATAGCTATATATAGGAAAACAATGGATTTAAAAAGAAAAATCTTCTGGATGACGAGGGGACACCTTCTCATAACACCTTTGTGAAAACTGTAGTTTCCCTGTCAGCTGAGGACGAGACGTTTCAGTGAACACTGAGGTCTATGAGTCAAATCTCCTCTCAGCCGTGTGGATTTAAGCTGCAGTACCACGGGTGGCCTCTAGTCTATGTGGAGACTGGTTTAAGCAGCAACACCCTCCACGTAACGTAATGCTTCAATTTTCACCAACTCATATCACGACGTGAGGGTGACAGTGGCTCAGTTGGTAGAGCATTGGCCTTTGAGCCTGAAGGTTGTGGGTTCGAGCCACCGTAAGACCTACTTCACAACTCCCACTGATGTCTGCCATCATTGTGTCCTTGGGCACTTATCCATGTGTTCTTGGGCACTTAACCCCACTTTGCCTGAAGCCCCCACTGAAAGATCTCCTGCAGGAGGAACAGTGAGGGGCTGGTGCTATGTGTACTGGGTGCAGCCCTGACTGCCACCCCCCAAACCAGAAATGGATTAAGGGGAAGAAAATGGATGGATGGATATCGCGATGTTTCTGGGAGTCACATGAGAGGTGGACTGACGTCAGCGCCGTCAGGCGGCATCTTGGACACAAATCTTCAGACAAAGCACCTCTCCCCTTCACCGTCTGGGCCGAAACCCCAATGACAATGGTAGTTAACCAGGTCTAAATTAGCCTCTGTCATGTCTTCAAGCATCCATTAGGGTTTTTCTAAACTCCCGGGGATTTCATTGATACATTTTACTGCACCTAAGCTCGCTGCCCCATTGGGGACAACTTCTGCATGGAGCTGTTGAATCCTGGTGCATTGGACAGTCTGAATGAGAGGGGCACATTTTGTTGTCAAATTAAAGGGCAGGGAAAATAATAATATGTTATTTTTTGTAATTATCCAATCCTCTTTATTCACAGAGCGTGCCGCACAGATATTCATAAAACTCACAGCAATCATCATCTAGGTCTGCCAGATATAACTCGCTGGTGGGACTGTGTCTCTCAGGGATGATGATGATGATGATGATTACAATAAAAAATATAATAAAGGTAACAAATAAGAATAACAATAATGTTGATAAGTATTATAACAATAAATATTTTGGCCAGTTCTCCCTCCTCGCCTCTAGAGGGCGTCTGGATTTTGCTTTAGATAAGCGTTTGTATTTTGTCCCTCTCAGCTTGCCGTCCCCAGCGTGGTTCAATGACATTAGAGCTCTACACCGGGTTTTACTCTCATGTAACAGTTTAATAACATATTCAGATCCATGTCACAGTTTTGCCACAGGTTCCTCTACAGTCTGTGAAACATGTCTGTGGGATTCCTCTTCAGGTCTGTGTGTGCGGGAGCGGCCCGGGTAAGAGCTGCATCTGTGTGGACACTAATGTCATAACAAACAAGGAGAGTTTCTGTACGGGAAAATATTTTGACAATCGATTAGTTGTGAAATTATTCTTTCGATTAAAGCTGAATTGTCCTGCTTTTCCCCAGAAATATTTCCGAGATGTTGATTTGTTCCTAAAGAAAGTTGTCGTGACAATTTTTGTTTTTTTGTTTTTTTTACACACTAGTCATAACATTTGCATGACCATATACATACCAGATCTTATTTTTCGATTCGATTAAACTACTATTTATCTTTCATTCCTAATAAGCAATAAAGATACATGTATTTGTTTATAGATGGTCATAGCAGTATAGAAACATAAAGGCATGTCTCTTTGTAAGAACTAGAATAGAATAATAACAATAACCACAATATCCTTATCACCTTGTAAGGCTCATTACATTAACTTTTTTCAATTGTTTTTAAAGCTGGGGTACCTAACTTTCTAACAACGAGCTGTGTAATAAAATTCCTGTCACTAGTTCCACGCTCTAAAAACCGTGTCTAGGAAGGTTCTATCACTAGTTTTCACGTGTATCTTTGGTCACATCTTTGCATCAGCTTTTTCAGACAGAAAAGTTAAAAAAAGAGAGAGCCACCCTCACTCAGCCAATCAGCTCTCAGCTCAATGTTTTTGTTAAATATTAGTCCCTCCGTGTTCCCCTTACAGCTGAAGCTTGAGCTATTGTTTGTATAACTCAGGTTTTTCCGTATTTTTTTCTGTCACTTTTTGTTGCATATTTTCTGTCTGATAGGTGAATGTGTTTGCCCACTACTTACAGGAAGTTGCTTATTCTCTATTCACACTTTTCACTATGATCTTTCCGTGTGCATGCTCCGTGTTGTGTTCAGGTGTCCGCAGTGCGTCCGCTGCAGTCCTTCCACACCGGATGTCCTTTGGGCGCAGCAGAAAAAGCTCTCCTCATGAAGCTGAGGAAAAGCACTGGATACACGTTCACAAACTGCAAAAAGGCTCTGGAGAAGTTTGACAATGACGTCGCACAGGTAACACTGCTGGGATTGGTCTTTACACACTTTTAGTCCTGGGTTGTATCACGTTGGCAACTCAGGACACAGGCGAATTTTGTGAGCCTGGTTTTTCACCGCACGGATGACAGGAGTCAAAATAAAGAGGCCAAAAAGACTTCAGACTGTCAAATTAAGACTTCAAAAGTTACACCCAGGACCAGAGAGAGTGTCCAGAGAGAGTGTCCAGAGAGAGTGTCCAGAGAGAGTGTCCAGAGAGAGTGTCCAGAGAGGGAGTCCAGAGAGGGAGTCCAGAGAGGGAGTGAGTCCAGAGAGGGAGTGAGTCCAGAGAGGGAGTGAGTCCAGAGAGGGAGTGAGTCCAGAGAGGGAGTGAGTCCAGAGAGGGAGTGAGTCCAGAGAGGGAGTGAGTCCAGAGAGGGAGTGAGTCCAGAGAGGGAGTGAGTCCAGAGAGGGAGTGAGTCCAGAGAGGGAGTGAGTCCAGAGAGGGAGTCGAGAGAGAGTTCTCTGGTCTGTACTGTCCTCTACTCTTCTCCATAGATAGATAAATAGATGGATAGGTAGAAATTCAGGTGTCCAGTAGCAGCAAAAACACATCCATCCACACAAACAAAACAAATAAATTGATCATTCTAAAAATCTAACAATAGTAATAATAAGAAACAGCGCTTCCCACCGGGCCGTGTCGCTCGGTGTGTAGAGAACAGGCGCCCTGGGGTGTTTGGTCGGTGTGAATGAGGCTGAAGACATAACCCTGCTGTGTGTTTGGCTTCAGGCAGAGACGTGGCTCCATGAACAGGCCAAGAGAGAGGGCTGGAGCAAAGCCCACAAACTGGAGGGACGACGAGTCAAAGAGGGGCTCATCGGCGTGTTCGTGGGAGACAGCGACGCCGTCATGGTCGAGGTAAACTCACAACTGCAAACTCACCGTCTGTACTCTTTGGAACTGATTAACAGGAGATTTAAGAACATGTTCAAACCGGCTAAGATCTTTATCAGTCACACACTATGATACTATACCAGCGATGGTGTTGTGTGAGGATAAAAAATACAATAATTATATACACTTAATAGATACATCTATACTTGTGTTTGCATCATTAAAATATTGTCAACAAATATGCAAGACAGAAAAATTGGTTGGAAAGTCTGTTTTAAAAAATGATCTTAGCATGATTTTTGAGTGGTTCTTTGCATTTATGAACCTCCTATGGACCAATGGCTTCTGTGTTTCTCCTGTAGTCCTGTTTGATTCTCTGATCTGTTTATTGGCAAATGGACTACTTTGTGAAGGCCTCCCAGACGACTGCTGTTTTGATTTCAGAGAAATACACAAAGAAATTGAATCGAGTTGAATTAAATGTGCACATGTTATTACGATCTGTGCTCGCTCCAAAATTCCCTGTAATCCAACTTTCTTTTTTGTCTTTTCGATAACTAATAACAGACAAACAGCATTTAAATCTTTAATAACATTGCTACATTGTGGAGTAGTATATCGACTCAACCTCCAACCCCCCCACGCTTAAAAAAATTAAGATAAAATAAGAAATGGAGACAAGCTATAATTAATTATTAATGGTAACAATAATAAGTCAACAAAATTAAGACGACAGTGGCTCAGTTGGTAGAGCATTGGCCTTGATGTGTATATGTGTATTTCTTCTTAAATAGTAAACAATAATATAAACAGTCCAATCCCTCTCAGTGTCAAAATTCCCTCTAAAGCTGATAAATTACACCAGAGTTACGCACATTTCACCGGGCCAAGACACTTATACAGTGGGGAATCCCTGATGTCTCCCACTTCTTTGACCTCGCGTTTGTGTTTTGTCGCAGGTGAACTGTGAGACGGACTTTGTGGCTCGTAACGAGGCGTTCCAGGAGCTGGTGAAGGCCGTGGCGTTCGCTACTCTGGCTCATCACAAGAACAGGACTCAGGGCCAGAGCGGATACGTGAAGGTGAGAGTCACAGCTGCGGCTTTACAGGCCCGATCATGTTCTCCCCGTGCGTAGGTTTCCTCCAGGTGCTCGGGGTTTCCATTACCACTAAAATCATCTTTAATAGTTCAGGGTGAATGAGTGTTGTTAAATGAATTTGAGAAATAACATATACGTTGGAAAGTGCTGATCAGCTTTCTCAGACATGGTAACAATGTCCTACTTTATGAATGACCTCTTATGGTTCAGGCTTTGCTGCCCCCTACTGCTGCCCTGGTGTTACTGCAGCTGTTTGACCGGTTTCTGTGTCTCGTTTTGCAGAGTCTTCTGGGAGGAGAGGACTTGAGCAAACTCACTCTGACTGAAGGCGTCACACTGGGGGATCACCTGGCCTTTGTTATAGGTCAGTCAACTGCTCTACATTGTTTTAGGGATTTTAAGAAGAGAAGTTTAGTTTGGTTAATTTTGGTCAAAAATAACTAAATCAATGTTTGGGCACAAACTTTCACACAACCAGCATGCATTATCAATGTAAGGGAAATGTTAGGTACCCTAGCTTTAATTTAGTGATTTTTAGATGAGCTAAGTTTTATTTAATGTATTTTGTACAACCCTAAATCACATCAGTAGTTATCTCAGAGGACTTTACAAAAAAGTCGATTTGCCAACACCAGTTGGAGCAGGGCCTTTCTGAGTGGAGTTTGCATGTTCTCCCCGTGTCTGTGTAGGTTTCCTCCGGGTGCTCCGGTTTCCCCTACCACTAAAATCATGCATAAAAGGTCTGAATGTAATGAGTGAGTGAATGAACATTGTAAAGCGCTTTTGATGTCTGTAAAAATGCACTATATGAACTAAAGTAACCAGTACTACTTATTGACGTACCTTTTTAGAAGTCCATTGATTTGAATGCGAAGTCTTCTTCATCATTCTAACCCCTGCTCCTGCCGCTCAGGTCGTCTGGGGGAGAACATGTCGGTGAAGCGCGCCGTGACCCTGGGCGTCCCCGCGCACTGGCACATCGGCTCCTACGTGCACGGCTCGGTGGCGGGGCAGACGCAGGTGACCATGGGCCGATACGGGGCTCTGGTGGTGCTGCAGGGGGGACCGGACGGGGAGCAGGCGGCGCTGGGACGCACCCTGGGCCAGCACGTGGTCGGGGAGGCTCCGGTGGCTCTGGGGAACATGGAGGACCTGCCGTGCGGAGATGCAGAGACCCGCCTCCTGCCTCAGACGCTGCTGTCCGACCCGAGCCGCACCGTGGCCCAGTTCCTCCGCGGGAAACAGGCGCGCGTCCTGGACTTTGTGAGGTTTCAGTGCGGAGAGAAAGCCGAGCTGCAGGAGTAACAGACTTTACAAACTCACTGTAGTCATGAATTTAGTCGTGTGGGTCCGTTGTATAAGATCTGTTATAGAGTCGCTCAATAAATTATGTTTTAAATGAAAGAGTTTGTACGTTTTGGTTCACACTGAAACTGGGGTGCCTAACTTTCAAATATTTATGTTGTGGTCTGATTTGTCATAATATTTTACTTTCACAAGACTCTTTCTGTTGGGGCAAGTAAAAACAAGTAAAAAGTACCCAGACATTATGTTGGACTTTAGCTTATTGTCTTATTTTTATTTCTACATTTGTTTTTGAACATTTGATGTGTCTTTGAGGACCTTGAATAGTCCCCGTCTTCAGTCATCACAAATACAGTAACTTGTGGACGACGTGTGGAGGTTTTCTGGGCATGTCCCACCAGGAGCAGACCCAGGGGAGATCCAGGACACGTTGGAGGACTGCGTCTCTCCTCTGACCTGGGAACGCCTCAGAATTCCTCTGGTTGAGCTGCAGGAAGTGTGTGCGGGGCAGCGTCTCTGCTAAGACCTCTGTCCCACAACCTGGCAACAACTTCACCCGTTGTCCCATTGTCTGTTTCATGGTACGATGACGGGATCTCTGAGCCTGGCCTCCTCCATCTGCACCTGCGGACTGCCCCGCCCGACCCGCCTGGGAGTGCTTCAGTCCTGCACTGGACCTGTCCACGTTCAGCGGCCACTGGTCCACGTCCTGTAGCTAGCTTAGGTCCTAGATCATTAGCCTGTCCGTCCAGAGGAGCGGATCCCTTTCTCATATGGGGCTCCCTCCCTGTGGGTTTCCCTAGTTCTCCCCAAGGTTTCTCACTTTTTTCCACTGGGTTTTTTAAGAGTTTTTCCTTGTCGATGGGTCTTGTTGGACAGTTAGTGTCCAACAGAAAGGATTGGTGATGATCAGGACACTTTAGCATTCTACAACATGTATGGACATTTTCTTCTGTGTGTGCTTTATATTCTTCATGTGTTTTAACTGTTGATTCTCTGACCTGTGTTGGTGATTTCAATGGTTTTGTTAAGTCCTCTGAGATGACTTCTGTTGTGACCTACGGTAGGGCTATACAAGAATACATTGTATTGTATTGTGTAAATGAAGCAGAAGAAAATGGTTGGATTGCAGGATTGATGTAGGGATTATTATTATGATTATTTCACTTTTCACGTTTGTCCTTACTGACGCAGGAAGGTCCAAGGACAGATCCAGGACACTCGACATTCAACAACATTTATGGACATTAGTCATCTGCCCCTTTTTAATCTTTTCACGGTTTTGTAAAGTCCTCCGAGAAAACTTCTGGTGTTATAACTTCTTCCCACTCCCAGTTTAAAGCATCAGTGTGCAAGTTATTGTAGATCTTCCTTTTTGTTTTGTTTTTTTCTCTCTTTTGTGGTCTTGGAACATTTACTGGAAATAAAATAAATAAATACAATTTAGGACTATAAAAATGAATTGAATCGAATTATTATTAATTGAATGATTTATTATTATTATTACTAGTATTACTGTTATCATTATTTTTGTTATTAATATCTATTTAAAGGCATGACCCCACAGACAGCAGCTCTCCAGACTTTGGCACCATCTTTTGAGTAGTGTGTAGTGTGAAGTGTATGTACTGTGTAGTGTGTGTATTGTGTGTGTGTGTGTGCAGTGTATGTACTGTGTAGTGTGTGTATTGTGTATGTAGTGTATAGTGTGTGTATAGTGTGTAGTTTGTGTATGTACTGTGTAGTGTGTGTATTGTGTGTGTACTGTGTAGTAGGGGTGTGACGATATATTGATTTTTTGATATATTGCGATACTTTCTCCCGCGATTCGATTATCGATATGCATTTGCCAAGTATCGATATCGATTTAGAAAAAAAGAAAAAATATATATATATTTTTTACATTTAAAAAAAAAAATTGGTATCAATACTTAATATATGGCTACATTACGCATCTCCATTCCATTTATCATGAATAAAGTGTATTTTTTATTTTATTTATGCCATAAATTGGCATATTGTATATTTCTGACCAATATATCGATAATCGTCATATCGTGATAATATCGTTATCGTGAGCTTTGTATCGTGTATCGTATCGTATCATGAGGTGCCCTTAGGTTCCCACCCCTACTGTATAGTGTGTGTAGTCTGTATGTATTGTGTGTATAGTGTGTGTGTAGTGTATGTCCTGTGTAGTGTGTGTAGTGCATGTACTGTGTAGTGTATGTACTGTGTAGTGTGTGTAGTGTATGTACTGTGTAGTGTGTGTAGTGCATGTACTGTGTAGTGTATGTACTGTGTAGTGTGTGTAGTGTATATACTGTGTAGTGTGTGTAGTGCATGTACTGTGTAGTGTGTGTAGTGTATGTACTGTGTAGTGTGTGTAGTGTATGTACTGTGTAGTGTGTGTAGTGTATGTACTGTGTAGTGTGTGTACTGTGTAGTGTATAGTGTGTATGTACTGTGTGTAGTGTGTGTAGTATACTAAATAAACAAACTAAGATAAGCAACACGCGTGAAGAGCAATATTCTCCAGATGTAAGGGCGGGTCAGTGTTGTCATTCCTCTGCTTTTGTCTTCACCTCCAACCGCTCCACCTGCTCCACCCGCTCCACCCGCTCCACGCCCAGGTGCCTCCGTGGAAATACCGCGCATACTTTTGCCAAGAGGGACGCGCGCTGATTGGCCAGAGCGCGCCGCGTCACGGCTCTATGTGCCAGAGCCTGTCCTCACCATCACTGCAGACCTGAGCCAAATCTGCGTCTCTGTCCCGAACGCAAACACCTCCGTGATCATGGTGAGCAGCCCACACACACGCACGACAGAAGAGGTCTACAAAGAGGAGGTTACGTGCGCGCGTTTTAGACAATGACTGAGAGAACGCGTGTTGTTTTTTTGACCCATTTCTGTTGCGTCTGCTCTTAAAGGCTACAGCGATTAGCCATGTAGCGATTCTGCGCAAACGCCTTTGATGATGTACCAAAAAATGCTGCAGTTTGTTTGATTTTTGCCGTTTCCCTTTTCTTAATCTCTGTCCGTGTGTTTCTCCTGCAGTCTGACTTCTCCGATGACCAGATAATGGGTGAGTCCTGGCGCTGCTTATAGACCTGTCTTAGACCTGTCTTAGACCTGGCTTAGACCTGGCTTAGACCTGGCTTAGACCTGGCTTAGACCTGGCTTAGACCTGGTTTGGACCGGATTTAGTCTTGACTTAGACCTGGTGTTTGGACCCTGTTTAAACCTGGAGTAGACCAGGTCCTAGTTTACACCTGGTTTTGTCTTAGTTTGGACCTGGTTTAGTCTTGATTAAGACCAGATTTAGTCCTGGTTTGGACCTGGTTAAGACCTGGTTTAAAACATTTCTTTTAATGAATTTATGTCTTGGAGGCTGATGTTTGGACTTGTTGCAAGTCTCTGTTTGGGCCTGGTTTTATGGTTGAGTAATGGTTTAGTTACATGTCAGCTCAGATTTAGTCTGGACCTGATAGAGTCCTGGTCGAGTACCTGTTTGGACCTAATCTGGACATGTAAATCTGTTTAGATTTGGAATGGTCTTGGTCGAGTCGTACTAAAAACTAGTAGTACTGGTACACAGTATTCCAGCAGACCTGGTTTCAGACCTGGTTCAGTCCTGAAGGTCCGATCTAATTTTGACTTTGAATTGTGTCTGGATTTGGAGTAGTCCTGACTTAATGATCCCAGTTGAAGTGCTAGTTCAGTCCTGGTTCAGACCCGGACTAAACTAGCTCCTAGTCATGGTCAAGAAAGACTTTTTTGTGACGAGGGCAGACTTGTGTTTGAAGAAGCACCAGTCCATCAGGTCTTTAGCCGTTCACAGACACACTTTTCTCAAACATGACCCAACTGTTCTTCTTCTTGGATAAATGAAAAAGTGTTGTATTGAATCTTTGGCCATAAGTGGGTCAGTGCTGCCTGTCCTCCTTTCTGAATCCCCCTCTTCAGGTTTCAGTCTCTTTCTCCCAAAGCCTCAGGGCGAAATGGAACTCACTGAGGCACAAACCATAACTAGTTCAACACTAGTTTCATATTTCTGTGCATTTATTAAAATAATCCTTTTCAGTTTCAGCCTGGAGGGAAAAGCTGCACATTAACAAAACGCGTGGTGCGATCAGAGAGAGATGTTAGATCATTCTTATTACATTATTAATTTTACAATATTTCCTTCACAAACAATGATCCTGTGTTTAGAGCTCTAAAATAGGCTTAGAAATACAAGGAAATGTCAAAAAGTGGCAAATAAGAGTTTAAACTAGTGTTGTATTTTGACAGTAGCTCAGTTGGTAGAGCTTTGGGCCTGAAGGTCGTAGGTTCGAATCCACCACGAGACCTACTTCACGACTCTCACTGATGACTGCTGTCGTTGTGTCCTTGAGCAAGACACTTAACCCCACTTTGCCTGAAGCCCCCGCTGAAAGATCAAGGCTCCTGTGGACTCACCACTTGCAGGAGGATCAGTGAGGGGCTGGTGCTATGGGTACTGGGTGGAGCCCTGACTGCCACCCCCCTGACCCAGAAATGGATTAAGGGGAAGAAGATGGATGTATTTTGACTGTAAGAAGGCAAATTCAGTCTTCTCCAAATTGGTTGTAAGCAGAGTGGGACTTAAAGTGAGAAGTTTATATTTTATTGCAAGAAATGTATCGTCTTGGGGGGAAAGTTGTCTATTCACCAACAACAGATCAGCGAATCAAAAACAGGAAATGCAATAATAACAAACACACAGGAGCCATAGGACCATAGGGAGCAGGACGACCACTGCCCAGGAATGTTAATAAATGTCCAAGATCATCACTGTCCTTAGACCCTCCAGTATCGGCAAGGAACGACTATGTTTCCTACAAATTTGCATAACTGAAGATAGGATGTTAAGGAGTGTCTGCACCAATATCGAGAATAATAGCCAGGAGACTTCTGCAAGTCTAATCTTTCAAACACACTCATGATGTTGCATTTCTGCTCCTCACTGGTTCCACAAACTGGACTCTCACTGGTTTTCTGCTCCCCCACACCTGATGGTCTTCTTCCTTCTGTCCCTGCAGAGTACAAGGAGGCTTTCATGCTGTTCGACCGCACTGGAGAAGGAAAGATCTGCTTCAGTCAGTGCGGAGAAGTGATGAGGGCCCTGGGACAGAACCCCATCAACGCAGAGGTGCTCAAGGTGCTGGGAAACCCCAAGATGGAAGGTACCAGGGCCAGGGCTTTGGGGCGGGCTGGAGGAGGAAGGGGGGGACTGACAGAGTGCTGACGAGCCATATATACCTATTATTTATTTATTCATTTGGATGGGACATTGTGTATTAATGAACAGCAGGCGGTGTTAATACTCTGCATCTGAAGTCCCAAACACACTCATCCAACCCTCACATGTTGTACATGTTAGGGGGAAACCAGATCACCTGGCAGAAACCTACGCAGACACAGGGAGAACATGCAAACTTCACACAGAAAGGCCCTGTCTGAAGGTGGAATCAAACTCAGGACCTTCTTGCTATAAACAAGATCACATGACCCGGCTCTCCTCCTCCTCACTGAGCCCTCTCACCAAGCCCCGGTGATCCAAGATGGCGTCCTATTCAAATGAATGACTTGTGCTCAGTAGACTTCACGGGGACCGAGAGATCAGCGGAACTCGCCTATGTTTGCGGATCGTCTGGTCCTCCCGGTTCTGCGCAGTGGACGAGCTCCCATGATGCGTTGCGCCAAATATACGTGTGTGGCTGTCATGCACGTGCACAGAGGGGCTCGGCCGCGCTCTGACCGATCAGAGCTGTGGTAGAGCGGAGCCAGAGCGGGAAGGAAAACAGCAGAGTTTGTTGCATTAAAGTATGGATTTAAAGAAAACTAAAGGATTTATGATGAAAAAAAGTTCAGGATGACCACGGGCGCCCCCTGTGCTCATAGGGTATTACTAGCAATAAGCTAGTAAAAATCCAGTTATCATTAAAGATCCATGAGTCTCACCCTCTCACTCTTCTGTTTTGTTGCAGAGATGAACCGAAAGATGCTGGACTTTGAGCAATTCTTGCCCATGTTCCAGGCCATCTCCAAGAACAAAGAGCAGGGCTCGTTCGAGGACATCGTGGAGGGTCTGCGTGTGTTCGACAAAGAGGGCAGCGGCACGGTGATGGGGGCGGAGCTACGGCACGTGCTGACATCACTGGGTAAACTCGAGCTCCTCTGCTTTCAACGACAACAGCCTCATTCACACTGCGCAAAAAACACCGGCCTCTAAACGCGCCTTAGGACCAAATATATCTGATTTAGATGTTGCTCACATGTGGGTCACGTGAAGGTTATAAAACTACACACAAGTCACACAAGGGACAATACTCTCTGGTCTCTCTCTGGTCTCTCCCTGGTCTCTCTCTGGTCTCTCCCTGGTCACTCTCTGGTCACTCTCTGGTCTCTCTCTGGTCTCTCTCTGGTCTCTCTCTGGTCTCTCTCTGGTCTCTCTCTGGTCTCTCTCTGGTCTCTCTCTGGTCCTGGGTGGACTGTGCTGTAACTTATTATGAGAATCCTAAGCTGATTGTTGCCATTTCAACATGTGTCTGATTGTGGGGCCCACAGTGGGAGACGCCTGATGAAGACGATGGTGTCTGTGAAGCTAACGGTGCCGAATGTTTTCCAGGAGAGAAAATGACGGAGGACGAAGTGGAGACTTTGTTAGCGGGACACGAAGACGCCAACGGGTGCATAAACTACGAAGGTTTGTCATGAAATCAATTATCACCCAATATTCTATACAGCTGCATAAGTGTGTTTTTTGTCTTCCAATGCAGTGCTGGCCTGAGAATGTACTGTTGTGCTCATAAGTGACAGAATGTGTGCGTTCATAGACTTTATTTTTTCAAGAGTAAGAATGAAACGAATCAGAATGAGACACTATTTCCCACAAGATTTTAAGAAGTTGTCAATCAAATGTATTTATAGAGCCCCTTGTGATTTACAATAAAATCACATAAAGGGCATTAAAACGTTCATGCAATCATACACTAAAAAGTATTAAAATAGTGTCACGGCGCTAGTGTTAAAAGTGTAAAAAGCCAGTTTGAAATGTTTTAGCCTCGATTTTAAAAAGGCCAAAATGGACTCGCTTACCAGGAAGCAGCTTGTTCCAGAGTCTGGGGCCAGCGAGATGTAGTCCCAAAGAGCAAAACTATATTCATAGACTGTACTGTATATACTGTAGGTATATACAGTACTCATGGATGAAGTTTTGCTCCATCTTGCTCCTACTGACTCGCATTGAAAAGTAACGAAACACTATGGCCGACGTCAATAAAGGGTTAGTCCACTCCCTCTGTGACCTGAATTGTGAATTTTAAACTACTCATCTTTTGGGCTCAGGTTAAAGCAGATTTAGATGGGGCTAAACAATTCACAGAAATGGCTACACCTAGAACGCTATAAAAATTGCTTGCATTTAAGAAATAAAAATCCCAAAAATGTCTTCATTCTGCCAGAGTTATGAGTCATCACGCCATAGAAATGATTTTGTTATAACATCCACTTTCAACAGTTATGTTTTTATTTTTTTCCAAATATGATTTTTACTGAAACTGAAAACTATTCATTTTTGTGAATAATGACTGCAGCTGGTGGAGGTTTGCTGTTGAGAAACTGGAAAATCTCGGTATTTCGCCCCAAGCTGACCCTGGCCTTATCTCTAACATTAACCAGATTAGCTGCTCCTAACCTTTTTAATAAAGTAATCACAACGTGGAAACTTTTGCCTGGGACAAGATGCTAAGATTTTAGTGAGTTGCGTTGAGAAAACACAACCTCAGTCCTGGTTCTACAGCTTGAGTCTCAGACTGGGTCCATCTCTCAATGTGGGCCTCCCTGAGCTTTCTCACATTTTTCCCAGTAAAATATGGAGGAGGTATTGGATATTATTAAAGCATTTGACGACTTTGTGTTGTTCTTTCAGAGCTGGTGCGGATGGTGATGAGTGGATGAACCCCGGACAAAGACACTTTGAAACTCCTACATGTTTTTATTTTGTCCGTTTATTTGAAGGTCTCAGTGCCTTCTCTGTCTCCTGTGAATCTGTTTTATTGTCTTTACACTGTTGTTGGAGAGTGTCCTTCAGAGCGCCCCCTTGTGGATATGTGAATATTGAATAATGTGAACTCAGTATTGAATAAAAGGCCATGTTTTATCAAGTCATTTATCTTTTTTGTTATTTCACAAGGTCGCTATTGACTGGATCAATACCATAGCTATAATGGTGACCTAGTGGCACCCCCTGCAGGTGAAAGCTAGATCCTGTCAGACCTCTGAAGCTAAGCAGGGCCTGGTTAGACCTGATCTCTGCACCAGCAGACCAGTCCCTGTGCTCCTGAGAGTCTGAGTTGGTTTATATGACACTAACATGTCACAGATGTACTAGGTGCGAGGCTATGGAGAGAGTTGTTAAAGTCTGCACTTCCTGTGGCTCAGAGAATAATGTGGCAAGAGCTCTGGTGTGTGTGCACACCGGGGTAGTCTTGCACAGTTTTTCCAATGTGGTTTTACTGCAAATGGCAAATAAATGAATCTGAATCTACAGCAGCTGGACATACCAACTACAAGGGACATACCATAGACCTGTCCATGGAGTCACAGTGAAATAAATTGACTTTCCAATCCCCTGAAAAATGTTTCAGAATTTTGCCACTCAAGCACCCTTTGTTTGCACCAAACTTGGGACAACTTTTTCACCCGCCATTTTGGAACAAACTTCAAATCCATGTGACGTACAGGGTCGGGGTTGGGTTAATTATTAAAGTTTAAACATTGATTGTGCTGTCAAACGATTGAATAGAAAGCTGCATTTTTAATCTCAATGATTTGACTGAAGGCAGATTCAGAACAGGGCTTTTCTCTGTAACTAGGACAATATATTTTTAGCATAATTATGTGGCTTTTGCTCCATATTTTAAATTTGAGAGGAGTGAAACCAATTCTGCGTGATTTGAGTCATGTGTGTTTTGCAAGCAAATAAAATGGGAAAAAATGGCAAACAGAAATTTTAAATAAAAATATCAAAAATAGTAAGTAATCTTTATATACCGCCTTTCACAGACCAGAGTCACAAAGCGGTTTACAATACAAGTATTATATACTTGTTTACAACACTTGTATTGTAAACCACATTTTGCATTGTGTGCAAAAGCTAAGCAAACAAATATGTTACAGTGGATGTTGGTTTTTCTTTTTAAATACCATCAGCCCCCACTCCCAGTCCAGCCCAGTCCTCCCCAGTCCAGCCCAGTTCACCCCAGTCCTCCCCAGTCCACCCCAGTCCTCCCCAGTCCAGCCCAGTCCTCCCCAGTCCTCCCCAGTCCAGCCCAGTCCTCCATAGACAAATACAAACACACAAGTGCAGAAAACACAAGACAGCACTAGTTTCACTTTTCACTTTTTTTATTTCTCCATGATTTATTTTTTGTAGTGAAAACTTGAACCATTATTTGCAGATTCAGATTGTTGACACAAACTGCATGAACGATGAGTGGAATAATCCAGTTCAACACAGTTTATAATCCAGCGAATACTGCTACGTTCATTTCAAAACAAAACTCAACAGACATTTAGTTCATTTCACAAAGTCCACAGAACACGAGAAAAATAAGACGTCGTTTTGGCTTGAGCCCAATACTGGAAAAGTTTTATATTTTATGACACTTCTTTGTCAAATGTTTTCATACGTTGAAAGTTTTGACATACAAAAAAAATAATAACGGCAATCAGACGTAACATTAGGACCATGAGGATGTGCCCAGAAAAAGGCATTTTTAGTACAAAAATGTATTATTTATTCTGATTATTAGAATATTAATCATAATATAGTGAGAATATGGATTAAGGGGAACAAAATGGATGGATGGATAGTGAGAATAGACTCAATATTAAAGAAGTCTTAAAAATGATGACAGGACTATTGACTTGGTCATTTCATGTGTAAGAATGTGAAAACATGTGGTGAAGCAGGTATGAAAGATAGAAAATGCTTTCCGCCTGTAACTCCCTGTGCTACCACCAGAGGGAGGAGTAGAAGAAATTGTTTTTTTTTCCCAAATTTGAAAATTACCAGCTGCAAAAAACAGATTAAGTGATAGTAAATACTTTAATTTGACTTGAGATTTCGCTTGAGTTGCCAAAACTAATTAATGGGAAAAACCAAAATTAGGAAAAACAGGACAATGGTGATGTCATAGCGCTACAATTACATAATACTGTTTCAGGACTGAGACTTTTAGACAGAAGGGGCGGAGCTACAAACAGCTCCAGGTCTGTGACTGATGAGGAACAATATTGTAACATGGGTAGAAGCTGTTTTGTCTTTTTTTTTTTGTCATGTTTGTTTTCTCCCCTTTCAGTGATGTGTTCAAAGAAAACTTGTGAAAATAAGTGGTAAAATAAAAAGCTTGAAAAAGGCAAGCTGGGGTACCTAACTTTTTGTTTGATTGAATATAGGGGATATAAAGGAATAGTGATTTTTTAAATTTAAAATGAGAACAAATATTATAATATAGAAAACAAATATTTAAATTTATTTTTTCCTCAGTCTGTGCCCCCGTCTTGTCCTGTGAATAATTTCAAGCCGAAGACTATTGACCACCCCCATTTCTATCACCGCACACACCAGACTTTAAAGTTACTCAGACATAACGTTGCGTCTGACTGCCACATTGTAAATGATAAAGTCGAATGATACACAGCTTACAGATATCATCAATGGCATGCTCACTCACTCACACAGAGTAATATACAAACTACAAATGTAACAAGGTACCATGTAAAAAAAATCATATAAAATGGACATTAAAATATAAAAACCATGAGGATACTGTTGGCATGTTAAACCTTCATTGTCAGCGGAATAAGGTGCAAACTCTTTCTTTTTCTTTAGTGAACAAGTCCCCCGACATAAAATGCACCAAAAATACTAGTCCTAAACACTGGAGATAACGCAAGAGTATAAAAAACATTTGGTCGATGAATAAATACATGTTACAAACCAGATCTGTCAAACTACATTCCTCCACCAACTCCTCCCGCACCAAAACTAACGTCACTTTGAATAAGTGCTGCCGGGAATTATCACGGATTGGGTTTCGTTTCTCAACTGGTGGGTCGGGCACGGTATTATGAGAGAGGACTAGGAACGGGAAATCATTGTGGAATTCTGCAAAAATCATCCAGAAAAGAGATGGATTTGAATAAATGGTTTGACAATGTTGGCCAATCAAAGTCTTTCTTTACTTTGATTTTGGATCCAAAGAAATTAACTTCAAGAGAGATGAGTGCTACAGTTTTAGTCAGGTGGAAACATGGAAGAGATGAGACAAATCTGAGGCACTCTTGACAAAAAAAATAAATAAATAAATAAACTGTCCATATTAGTGCAGTCTGTGGTCTTAAAACCCTAGTACTGAACTTGCATCGTGCTGGGACCTTACTAGCATCAAAAATGAAAGCCAAAGGAGTCTTACCTTGTGTTCCTCTGTAAAAATCTAGAAATAACGTAGAAGGAGACCAAGACTAAATAAGGACCAAGCTGAGGGTTCTATCTCTTGGTTTGGTGGCACTGGGGTCCTGGCTGAGAGGAAGGACACTTGTTTATGCAGAAGTTCCTGATGTTAGCGTGGGCAGAACTGTAAGCCTCTCCTGACCCGTTTGTGACGAGGGAATAGTGTTTTTAAAAAGCCACAGACTCCACCAGTTGAGAAAATGGCTGCTTTCGAGGAGGCAGACCCTTTACATACACTGTCAATACTTTCACATCTTTCCCTTGTAGCAAAAGAGATCGACAAAAGATCAAAACTACGCTACTATTACAGTACTTCTTTTCAAACTGCATTCACACCAACTTCTCCTCAGTTCACTTGAATTTGTCTTCATCGTTTTTTTCAACCCTGGGGAGCCACTTTTGCCTTCAGCGTCAGAAGTCCAATCTCGAGTATCTTAAGACAATACAACGGTAATAAAATAAGTGCTTCGGTTCAGATTCACCAATATTTCAAGCCTTCTATATAGACGACGTAAACGTATTCAAAGTGCATATAACTCGTACCTCGGGAAAATTGGCAAAATCATCGGAATTTTTGTCAGCGTTTGGATAGAACTGCAAAGAATCGGCCGCCCGCTTGATAGCTTATTGAAACCGACGCTGAGGGGAGTGTCCGAAAAGGGAAACAAAAAGGTTAGGATTTTACCATCGCTTGTCCGTTGTTGGGGAGAGAATGGCGAGTTTCTTCCGGACTTGAAGGGGCAGGCAGGAGTCAGAGTGGTCAAAGTCATTCAGGGCGGAGTTTTCACTGTGGGGGCGGAACCGGAGTGGAGGGGTGCTGCGTGTCCCCGGGATGAGGGCCATGGTGCTCTGGAAGAAGACAGAGAGAGATCTTACTGTACATGTTTAATGGAATGGGAAACAGTCATCCATTTTCCTCCGCTTTAATATTACAGGATCGCGGGGGCAGCAGTCGGGGATCTACAATTCAATTCAATTCAATTTATTCTTGTATAGCCCTAAATCCCAACACTAGTTATCTCTGAGGACTTTACACAACCGTTGAATTTGCCAACACAGATGAGAGAATCAAGACTTCCCTATCCACACACACTTCCTCCAGCTCATCCAGGGGAATCCTGAGGCGTTCCCAGGCCAGCTGAGGGTCTCCTCCCGTGTGACCGAGCTTCTCCCCCTATCTTTAAGTGAGCGCCCAGTCACTCACTCTGCGGTGGAATCTCGTATGGGCCGCTTGTATGCGCGATCTCAGCCTTTTGGTCATTACCCAAAACTCATGACCAGCTGTGAGGGCGGGGACATAGATTGACCCCTAAATATTGAGCTTTCCCTTTAGATGCTGCTCTCCCTTCTTGACTCTATTGTAATATCTGGATAGTGTTTTGCTCCTGATTATAGCTCGTTGCCATGTCAGATTTTGGCTCCTTTCACAATGAAGTCAACATTACTTGTCTAGCCCAGCCACTTGGCCAAAATAATAATATTATACTCTATATTAGCTTTTCAGAGGAACTCAAAAACATTTTACAAACAGACAGATACACATTCATGGAAACAACAATGATACAACTCAACACAAACACATGTATAAGCCGACAGCACAACAGCACGTCAGACTCACCGTGGAGCGCAGGGTGAGCGGGCGCGGGCTGTGTAGGCGGGCAGGGCGAGTAACTGTGAGCTCCGGGGGGCGCGGGCGGGTTGCTGTCGTGCGTGCTCCCGGAGGGGGGCGCGGGGCTGGGGGCAGGCGCGGGCGTGGAGCTGGTCTGCCCGTGCGCGGTGGCTCCTGCAGGGGGTGGCGGGCCGTGCGGGGTCTGGCTGCTGTGCTGCTGGTGCTGGATCTGCTGGAAGTGCTGCTGACGCGCCCTCATCTCTGCGTACTTTAGCTGCTCCATGTGGAAGGACTGGCGGTCGGACAACAGCTGCTGACGCTGGTACTCCAACTGCGCGGGGAACAAATGTGATGCTTAAAGCTGGGGAACGTAACTTTTAAAACAGCTCATAGCACTTTGGGCTGAGAGCTTGGTGGTTGTTGCCAGGGCGATGGTCTTTACTCACCGCTTCTCGCTCTCGGTCCATGATGGTTTCCAGTTCTTCAAAGTGCCGTAGTTTAATCTCCAGTTTCTTCATCTGTGTCTCCACCAGCAGAGCCACCAGAGACTTGATCTTCCTCTCCTCCACCGCCGCCAGGTGCTGCACACAAAAGCAAAATGTTGGGCTTTCTTTTTACCAGTGCGTCCCACGACCCGGGACAAAGACGGGAAAGGGTGGCCTGTTGTTAGGACCCGTGTCTTAACAACCTTGTTAAAAAGTATGACTTTCAAAATAGGTCTTCTTAAGTAACTGCAGCCAGCACCAGAAAGCGACCAGAGAGAGAGAGACAAGATAGAGACCAGAGAGAGAGAGAGAGAGAGACAAGATAGAGACCAGAGAGAGAGAGAGACAAGAGAGAGACCAGAGAGAGACCAGAGAGAGACCAGAGAGAGACCAGAGAGAGACCAGAGAGAGACCAGAGAGAGACTAGAGAGAGACCAGAGAGACTAAAGAGACGTAACTATATAAACAAAGAAAGTTACATTTTTAGAGAATATTTAACAAACGCAATCCAGCAAAACAGTTTGGTTATAACTGTTTTTTTTAATTTCTGTCTAAACTACCTCTAGATTCGAGTGTTTACATTAACCACTCCTGAGCAAAAAGAGTAGGTCGCAAGGCGGGTTGAATACCGAGTAGTTTTGACACACCCGCTTGTGTCTCTCAGTGTGTAAGGAAGAGGCCACCCGAGGTTTTTGCTCAGTGCGAATGAGGCTATTGAATATCAACATTGTGTCTTCTGAGGAAATTATGACATCTTCCAATCATAGAGTTTCAAGTCGACCCAGTGATCGTAGTAGAAGTGTTGTTACCTTGGCTTTCACAGCAGCAGCAGCCAGAGCAGAGGCTGCAGCCGTGGCCAGGTTCCCCTCTCCGGCCTCTCGCTCCACTTTGGTCTTTCTGTCTGCGTCTGCGTCCGCTTCTCTCTGCGCCTCCTCCGTCACCTCCTTCCCCTCTTTCTCCTTCTCCCCGTCACCTACAGGCAAACCACAAAGCTCACAGTTCACAAGCAGGATGTGGCCGTAACAAATATATATTAGGATTTATGGACATTTTCTGTAAGTAAACTCAATTCAATTCAATTTATTTTTGTGTTGCCCGAAATCACAAAGTTGTCGATTCCACAAGGAATGCAATACAGAACACAGAGGAGAATCTGTCCACAGGGAGGACCATTGTCTGTAAATGTTATTAACATTGGTATGAGCAGCTCTCATTACCACGCTCCCTGCCCAGAAATAGAATGATAAAGGGGTAGAAAATGAGTTAATGGATGAATGAAAATGAGATATATCCATTCCAAAGAGACTATAGTATAACATTGTGGTGGAGGAAAGCTGACAAATCGTTCCTGGTATAAAACTATAAGTATGGTAAGTGTCAAAGGTCAGATTCTAGTCAGACATGAAAATATTGCACAGACTTTGTGAATCTAATCACTATCAAATAATGATAGTGAGCTGTGATCCTGGTATTTATATATTTTTTGACATTGACTTTGTAAATCCAGGTATGAGCCATATGCCTTCATCCATCTTGCCTTAGCAACTGTCATAGCAACACATCTGCCACTGTGAAAACGCAAACACAACCCCCTGACGGAACAAATGGCCATTAAAGGAAATTGGCTCAGTCCACTTTTATAGGGTCTATGGGCGATACATGTGTTGAAAAAGTCAGAGAAGTCCTCTGCAGTGCGCTCAGGTCTCAGCTCTCACCTTCGGCCTCAGTTTTCTCCGTCTCTCCCTCAGATTCTCGCCGCTCTTCTTCCTTCTTTCCGTTTTCCGTCTGTTTTTCTTCTTCTTCGTTTGCGCCCTCTTTGTTCTCCTGTGGGGTCTGTGCAGCCGTAAAAAACTCTTTATAATCAATACAATTCCACTTGTTTTGAAGTCCTCTTGTACTTTATGCGTGTATCATTTTAAAGTGATATATTTCCAAACACAAACCTTGGCCTCTTTCTTTTCCTCTGTGGGCGGAGTCTCGGTTTTTCTTTCCTCGTTGCTCTCCTCTGAAACAGAAACACACACTCAAATGAATACATTTAGCTACTTTTATGATTTGTTTAAATGGCTGAAATACTTTGGCTTTCTATAATTATGTATAATCCATTGTGCACACAGACAAAATGCCTTTATAAAGCCTTGTCTATGAAGCCTTGTCCCACAATGCACCTGTCTTGTCCCCTTCCTCCAGGACGGTCCCCGCGATGCCGCTGCCCTCCAGCCCGTACAGAGGGTCCTGGCGCCCGCTGACCCGCGCCGCCTCTTCCACCCTGCGGACGTGAGCCTCCACCAGAGCGGCCGGGACCTCCTCCTTCATCCGGGAAAACTCCTCTGCACAAACACACACGCTCAGGTTAAAGTGACGGTTTTCAAATACGCTCTTTCCTGATTGGACGATATTACCCAACCCCTATTCTCATCGGTTTAGCTATTCTTCCGTGCAAATCTAGGCTGCTTTTATGCCAGCGGATCCCTCTCTCAGTATGGCTTCTGCCAACTTCTCTGAGATGACTGTTGAATACATTGAATTGAATAAACTTGGGATGAGTGGAAATAGTTCAGAGATTAGTGTTACAGAGACAGGCTTCTACTCTGACACATGTAATCCAGGTTAAAAACAGTTCTGTTTAGCTGTTCATACAACTGAAGGATTATAGCTTCGTAATGCACTGTGATTGTTCATGATTTTAACGTTTCTTTTCTTTTAGCATACAAAGTTTCCTTTTATATGAACTGTGTTGTACAAATAAACTTGCCTTGAATACATAATTACACGTTGTTTAACGTGTAATTAAACAAGAAACAAGAATAAAAAGTCATAAACAAATCAAACCAGCTTTTCTATCTCATTAGAAAACATATTTTGCATATATGTAAGAAAGAGCCTAGTGAGTCACTATTTGAAGCTTTGAGCTGATTGGCTGAGAGTGAAGGTGGTCATCTCTTTTTTACTTTTATGTCTGAAAAAACTGATCTAAAAATACATGCATGTGAAAACTGTCATGAGAGCGAGGAACTCATTAGATACTACATATTTCCATTTTGTGTTGTTTGAAAGTTAGGTATCCCAGCTTTAAATGCATCCTGGGGTAACCTCCCACATGTAAACTGTGTGACAAGACAGTTGTGACGAACCCAGGGCAGACTTGGCGGCGGCGGAGGCGACTCGCGGGTCCACCACGGAGGCGAGGAAGGCCACGGTGCTCATGACTGGGTTCCCTGCCTGGCTGAAGGGCACGGGCTGATGGGAGAGAGGCCCCAGAGCGGTGGCCCCCTCCTCCAGGTACGGGTCCTCGATCGGCAAACGCAGGAAGTGGAGAATGCACTCGTCCTGGGTCCGGCTGCCCACGTGCTCCGACACCTTGTTCCAGTCGTCTTTGTACATCTCCAGCCCCTGAGAAAAAAACCGCTTTGTGCTCAACTCAATTCTATATATTTGTGTATAGGTCTATATGTATATGTAGATATGAACAAATTATTTTCTTTTAATTCTGGTAAATTGTTTGGTTAAAAACAGAAATTACATTCACTGACTGTATCACAACCAACATTTCTTTTTAAAATATGTATAAAATTAAAAAAATACATATTACAGACTGATTTCAAACTCAAAACACATATTTGCTAGAACAATGTATATTTTGTTCACTTTTTTATTTTATTATTTTATTTATTTATTTAAGGAATTCAGAATATGTCAGAAAATGGTTAAACTAATGAATGAAACAAAGATATTTATCCAGTTTGTAAGTTGTTGAATAGCCATGTACCTCCAACAAGAGCAGTGTCTCCTGTTCTGTCCAGTCCCTCATCGTGCTGGCTCCACTCTTGCTCTGAAAACACCAGAAATATTATTCATTTTCCGTTTATCTGCAGTGTTTATGTGAAAAGGTAAAGTCTCTGGTCGCTTCACCTTTGTGGAGTTGCTCTTCTTGCTGTACATGTCGGTTCTGAGGCCAAAGTTTTGCAGATCCGTTGTCGGTTTGTCTTTCACTTTATCGGGGAAGGACATGATCGGAGCCGGAGTCTACGAGAAAACGAGGATTATTTAGAAAAACAGGATATTTAGGCACACATACAGAGCCAGTGCAAAAAACATGAATGAATAACTCTAAAATCATTTGAGTGGGATTTTGTAAATGACATTGCACCTTTTCTCCTGTTGTAACCTGTCTTTTGGGTGTACAAAAATTTGCCTGTGATTTCTGAGTGGTTCAATTCGTCTCCTCTGACAAAGGCGGGAGTCTACTGCCCAAGCATGTGGCAATTAAACATTACTAGCTTCTTTATCTTATCAAGTGAACCGTATAAGCCTTAAACATAAAGAAGACATAATGAACTCCATAAAACTGCAATAATTTGTTGAACTGATTTGCAATACCATTAAATCTAAAATCCATTGTGGCTGTGATCAGAGTAAAACAACATGAGAAACTGTGCTGATGGCCTTGACTGTTTCTCTATGTGAGAAATCTTCCGGGGGCAGACGCTGCAGTACCACTCTTTGGCCACAAGGGCTTTAGCTTTGAGAAAGACTGGGCGTGTTGTATCCATATTCTGTAAAGCGCTACATGAAACCCATGCATTATTATTATTACTATACAAATCTCTTGAACCTGAGCTGGTTTGGGCTGCAGCGGCACCAGGCTGGAGGGCGTGTCAGCCAGGACATGGAAGTGGGAGGTGGGGGGAGGACCCATGGGCGTGGGGCGGCTCTCCGACTCCACCTGGTAGTTGATGAGGCCCCACTGCTCCAGGAACGCGTGCACCCTGGAGGAGAGGACCACACACTGCACTGTTATATACGTGTTTTCACCAGAGGATCAGCAGCAGCAGAGCAACCCCACAAAACATTCATCTGTGTTAGAACTGAGATGCACGAGAAAAATAGAGATGTTATATGTCTGGTACTATGGGTTTATACAGCAAGGTGGCTCTTATAAATGAACCCTGTCCTCTTTATATACCCCATAAACCCTGTTTTTCGACAATAATTTACGACCATATTTCAACTTCACCGTTTTTTGAGGTTGTTGTGACTTTTGGTTCATCCGATGGGCCTCTGTCAGTTGAACTACCAGAGCTGGAGGATTTTACCTATTGCTCATGTTTGGTACAAGTGGTACTCTTGTAGTGTGTGTAGTACGCAAACCCACCTCATGATGGCGCACACGTCTCCAGCCAGGTTCCTGCGACAGGCCGTGGAGGTCAGATACTCCTGAGGGTTCAGCCGATACGTGTCGATCATGAAGTTTCTGTAGGCCAAATATCTAGACACAAATACACACATTAAACACACATTATACAATCACAGCAATAGACTGTATATAGATAGACATTGCTAACCCCCTAGCTCAATGAAGCTCAATATGGAAATACATATGAATGATGTTTTGCTCCAACTCTAACTGGCTCCTATTGACTTACATTGAAAAGTAAACTCCTCTAGTTAACACTCACCATTTTGGGCCCAATTTGCGGTTTAGTGAGCTCTATAATGGTGTTTAAATATTGATATTGTCGTGAATTCAGACATGGGACATGTAAAGATTGACCCATCAGATGCCTTCATTCGCAGGAGAAACAACTTGCCTTAGCAACACTTCCGTCCCTGTTACAGCCTGAAGCTAACCGTATGCACATATAAGGGGATTTTGGCTCTAGCTAGCTTATATTCAAATCTGCCTCTTCCGCATTTAGGCTAACACAATGGTGATGTCACACGCATCATTTACATTGGGGGCGTAAAACTCACATTTCTGGAGTCTTGGATTTGTTCTTCCCGTTGAAAAACTCCGGCAAGGCTCTGCGCTCGATGGCGTGAACGCTGAGGAGAGAGGAGCACAAAGGGGAATATTATATTATACTGTCTGGTCCACGCTGCGGAACCTGCGCTGGTTCCTGTATTCTCTCGTCTAACGTATGTGTTAACTGTGCATAACAATGTTGCAAAATGAAATACGGTTTGATCACAGAGATGCGGAAAAAATAAACAATGAAATCATCAGGTGTCCACCGCTCATGCAGCAGTCAACAGCTACCATGTAACGTAAATAGACAGTGAGGGAGCAGGTGATTAGAAGTTTTTTTGACTCCCGTCTCCTCTTTTTGAGCTCTGTATAGCACTAGCACAGTATTGAACTGAACTGAACTGAAAAGAGGAAGAACACATGTATTTTTGGCCTCTGTCACAGCTTTAGATCAGCTTTATCAGACAGAAAAAGGGAAAAAGCCAATCAGCTCATAACATGTTTTCTATATTGATTGGGGTGTATGTGTGTTCTAATTTAAGTCAGCTTTAAGTCGCACAACAGTTCGCTCTGTACTGGGTGAAGAGGCTATATTCATAAACTAATTTCAAAGTCTTGTTGTTAAAATCTAACTTGGTCAAGAATAATCAAGTCAAAGCTGTTTGTTTGTACCTGTTGTAGTCGAACCAGGCGGCGTAACTGGGGATGATGATGTGATGCGTTTGTTCCGTCACGTTGTCCTCATGCAGATCCACTTTCACCGGCTCCCCCTTCACACTGGGAGACCCTTCCTCCTCCTCCTAAAACATAAACACAAAATATTAGATTATTTTTTATTTGGCGGGTGGAGAGGTCGTTTCAAAAGCGAAAGAGTCCAAGCATCTCAGTGTCTTGTTTTCAGTGAGGGAAGAATGGAGCATGAGACGAACGGATCGGTGCAGCGTCATGTGGTCGCTGTATCGGACTGTTGTGGTGAAGAGGGAGCAGCGTCTGCAGTCCGAGCTCAGTCTACGTTCCCTCCCTCATGTCTGGAGTTAATTTACATTTAGTTAGTCAGTAAGTAAACTTTATTTGATTTAGCGCCTTTCACAGACCAGAGTCACAAAGCGCTTTAAAATTGTTGTGGGCATTTGTCTCTCCCTCCACACAGAGATGGGAGGCACATTAGAGGCACTATGTCTCTCAACTGGCCTGGGAATGCCTCACGGTTCCCCCAGATGAGCTGGAGGAAGTGTGTGGAAAGGGAAGCCTGGGAGTCTCTGCTTGGATTGCAGAACCCGTGTCAACGTTGGATGGATCATATTTAGAGCTGAAGCTAAAATAAAGTCCAACCAGAGACGAGGAGAAGCATATGTAAAGCTTCTATCACAGATTACACTTTTCAAAACAGTTTTCTATATTTGACAAAGCATTACTTCACCTTTCCTGTTGTTTCCATAGACTCGTCCTCTTGTTCGTCTGTTGAAATGAGAAAATAAGAGACTTGTGACAACAGCAACATAGCAATGAACAAATTATTAATAATAAAACATTGCAGGAAACCGTTTAAACAGATGCAACAGTGTTGTATGGGAAACAATAGATCAGTGGTAATCTAATAGTATTAGATTATCAATGGTGAGTAATAAATACTCACCATTGTCTCCTTTCACTGGAGTTGAATCAGAGTCTTTTTTAGTGCTGTCTGAAAATATAAAAAGTTCATTATTTCACTTGACAACGAAAAAAGATTTAAACTGGTTGAGAGAAGCAGAGGCGGAGCTCCTATGAACAGGAACGAAAGGCCCCAAACCTGAGTGGAGGCCCAGTCATGTGCCCTTCATGACTGATGTAATAATATCTAAATGTTAAAAGAAAAAATATATAAAAACAACGAACAAGAAAACAAATGGAGAAAATATAAAAAAATATAAATTAAAACATAAAACAATTAAACATGTAAAAAAAAAAAATACAGGAACAAATCTCCTCAAAAAGTACTACAAAAATAGAAACACATTTGTTTTACCAGGAGATAACACAACAATAGACAAAAATATATAAAGAAACTAGTTAAAAACATTACAGAGAATAAAAATAAAAAGTTTAAACAATTAAATCAAAAGTAGGAAAAATGTATTAGCAAACACAGTCAGACATTTAGAAAAATACAATAGAAAAACAAGAATCAACACCCTACAGTACCTTTCAACAAAACACACGACAGCAATGACACACACACACACACACACACACACACACACTTATTCAAACAGACACACATATATAGCAGAGAGGTAGACTTCAATTCAATTAAATTCACTGTGTATAGCCCCAGTAGTTATCTTTCCAAAACTTTACAAAACCATTGAATTCGCCAACACAGATCAAAGAATTAAACAGTTCAAACACAGGAAATGCAAAGATGAAATCATTCATAGAGCCATTGGTCCATAAGGGGCAGATGACCAATGCCCCTAAATGTTACTAAAAACAAAAACCACGTACTTGTCTTTGCTGGATTCCCCTCGTCTGAAGCAGCGACAGGAGAAGCTTCGTCTGCGTCTTTGGACAGATCCTCGGGCTCCTCTTCCCTCTGGCCGCGTTTGGACTTTGTGTATGGAGTTGTGGGTCTGAAAATGCAAAAAAAGATATATGTATATAAAAGATGTTAGCTGAGTCCAAAGTGGAGATATTATTACTGTTACCTCATAAAAATCAGACCTTGGGTTGTTTTTAGCTCCATTCAGAATCAAGAATCACATGCAAAAGCCCAAAGAGGAGGCTCACCCCTTCTTGGCGTTCTTCTTCTTGCTCTCCGCTGGGGGGGGCGTGGGAGACGGAGACGGCGACCTCTTCCTCTTCTTGGCGCCGGCTGGTTTCTTGTCCCTCCTCTCGTCGGGGGTGGTCACCTCGTCCGTCAGGGTTTTGGCTGAAATCCTCTTGCGTTTGGGGTTCCCCTCCCCCACCTCGTAGTCCTCCTCGTTCATCCACTCGTTGTACTGGTCCAGGTCTAAGATCCACTTGGCGTGAACCTGTTGCGAATACAGTTTTGCGTTATTCAATTCAATGGTATTTTTAGTGCCTTACATTTTACCGAACCAGCTTTAAGTCTTGCACATTTTGCAACAGACAACTGTGAAGTGAAAGCATAGTGATTTGCAGTGGCCGTGTCTTGGTATATTTGCAGTTGTGCCACATTCTTTCCATTAGCTTGGTAAATACTTACCAGCTAAAAAACTTCTCCACAACTTCATTCTTGGCCTTTGTGTGTTTGTATTTGTATGGGCTTGACTTATTGTTATCTGTGTCATGATGTGTCTTTTTGAAGGTTTTAGGTTTTTCTGTTGCCCCTAGTGGGATAAATAAAGTATGAATTTGAAACCCCTTCCCACCACCAGATATGATGACTCCATGATGCTGCCTTGTTAGCCATGTTAGCATCATTGACTCTGAAGCGTCTTTGAGTTCTTAAAAAAAGCGCTATGTAAAACCGATGTATTATTATTATTATCATTAGCCTTGTTAGCATCATTAGCCTCGCACCTTCCTGGGCTTCTCAGCACTGGGGGCGTCTTCCACTGCAGCCTCCACTTCACTGGCGGCGATCCACGTGTCGTAACTGTGACAGTGAATGGTTCAGATGTTTAATCTTTAACAAAACCGTAAAAAAGAGAGAATGAGCAGCAGTAGTTCACACACAGACCTGTCGGGAAAATAGCCCCAGTGCAGCAGAACCTGTTTGTCCCTCTTCATCACCGGTCGAACCCACTCCTCTGAAAAAAAACAAAAATGAATCAAAAACCAGGGGCGACAGTAGCTCAGTTGGTAGAGCATTGGCCTTTGAGCCTGGAGGTCATGAGTTCAATTCCCACCATGGGACCTACTCCAACTGCTCCCACTGATGTCTACTGTCGTTGTGTCCTTGGGCAAGACACTTAACCCCACGTTTCCTGAAGCCCCTGCTGAAAGACCAAGGCTGTTTCACCACTGACAGAGCAGCCATCTTCCTGTGGACTCACCCCCTGCAGAGGATCAGCGAGGGACTGGTGCTATGAGCATTGGGTGGCAGCTCTCATTGCCACCCCCCTGACCCAGAAATGGACAATAAAGGGCTTGAAAAAAATGAAATGGTTCTGGACTGATCCTGGTTCTGAGCAGAGTTAGCTTGGTTTTCCACCAGAGAACAGCAATTGAAAAACAAAAACAATTTTGGGTATTTTTTTCAGAATTCTAATTGATTTAAAGTGGAGGTGTCAAAAAGACTGTTCTGTGAGTTCTAGTAGTTTAGAAATGAGGGTTTAGTGTGTGTTGGTTTAGTGTTGAAGTCTGTAACAAAAGTCTAAACAAAAGCGTGTGAAGCTCGTACCGTCCTCCAGGCTGCTAGGGATCGGCACCACCATGTGAGAGCTGCTCGTCTTATCGTCCGTCACTGAACCCTGCACAAGAAAGGTTAAGATTAAGAGAAGCTCTGTTAGTGGCTAAAACCAAGTGATGAAGATGCTCAAATGAGGGAGATTTCATGTAGATATAGTGACTCAGCATTTGACCCATTCATAACCGAAACAGAGTAAGGATTGGACCGGTTGGACAGAGGACAGTTTGGACAGAAGGGGTGGGGGTGTTTGATGGTAAGTGAACAGAAGCAGAAACCTGGTGTCTCTTGATGATGTCTTTGAGTTTCCCGAGCAGCTTGGGTTCGATGTCGGAGCTCAGGTGAATCACAGGCCGAATCAGACAGTTGTTCTGAGGATCAAACAGAACTGTTAACAACATCATTCAATAATAAAATCCCATTTTATTCAATTATTCCTTAACACTAGAGCAGTCAATTTGACGGCTTTTAGTTTTTTTCCCTCATGTATATTCTAGGTCTTTGTAACTTTATTTCAATGCCATTATTGTCTTTTTTTTAAATATTAATTACTTTTGAAATCGGAGTACTTCTACCTTTAACTCACACCACATAATTTTAAGTGCTAGTTACCATAGCAATAACCTCAAACTTTGTGCAGACAGTGCTACGGGTCAATAGTATTTGTACTTTTTCAAGCCACTGTGTATTGTAATGATGTCAGTGGTGTGAAGTACTTTGTGAATATTGTTTGTGTTTTATTGCAGTATCTGTAGCATTGTATAGTTTGTAAGAAAGTGTTGCAGGATTAGTATGAATAGGTTTGCTTTCAAGTTCTAGAATAGTATTTCAGTTGGAGGGCAGGTGTCTCTGTGGGAAAGGAATGTTTACAGGAATTTTGGAGATTGTTATTCACCCAGAGTCCCCTTATCTGTGTTATGATGGGACCCGTGAATCTGGCCTCCACCAGGGAGAGACCAGAGAGAGACCAGAGGGAGACCAGAGAGAGAAGAAGTGGTCTCTTTCTAGAAAGAAACGTAGAGACCAGAAAGATAGACCAGAAAAAGACCAGAGACAGACCAGAAAGAGAGAGGGATTAGCGAGAGACCAGAGAAATACCATAGAAAGAGAGACCACAGAAGGATCAGTGAAAGAGACAAGAGAGACCAGAGAGAGACCAGAGAAAGAAACCAAGAGACCAGAAAGAGAGACCAGAATAAAATCAGAGACCTGAGAGAGATCAGAAAAAGATCAGTGAAAGATCAGAGAGTCTAGAGACTAGAGGGAGTCCAGAGCAGAGAGACACAAGAAAAATACTAATAATAATAGAGAGAGACCAGAGAAAGACCAGAGATTGACCAGAGAGAGACCAGAGAGAGATCAGAGAGAGATCAGAGCGAGAGAGGGATCAGCGAGAGACCAGAGAAGTATCAGAGAAAGACCAGAAAGAGAGACCAGAGAGAGATCAGAGACAGACCAGAGAAATTAGAGACCAGAGAAAGACAAGAGACACCAGAGACTTGAGAGAGACCAGAGAGACCAGAAAAAGACCAGAGAGACCAGAGACCAGAGACCAGAGAGAGACCAGAGAGAGACCAGAGAGAGACAAGAGAGAGACCAGAGAGAGACCAGGGAAATATCAGAGAGAGACCAGAGAGAGACCAGAGCGACTAAAGAAAGACTAGAAAGATAATATTGAGGCCATAGTTTATATGTGTGGTTGAAAATGTGGCTCAGAGACACAAGCTCTAAACAAAGACTTTTGACTGTTACCATAGTTACCAGGAAAAAAAATTCAGCTTCCCTCCTCCACACGTTGAACTATTGGCTCTTTGGACTGTAGTGATGTCACATGAACGCAAACCTATTTGATGAAAACAGAGAAAAGAGCGTTGTCGAACCTGCACCAGGGACTTCTCGATGGTCATGAACATCTCCACATTTCGGTCCATTCTCGAAGGATTTTGAAAGTCAAACCTGCGCCTAGCGAACAATCAGACTGGAGTTACACACGACACGACACTCAAACCTACACAGTTCTGAGGTGCATGTTTAGATCTGGGCTATTCAGAGAAACCAGAGAGAGAGACAGACAGACAGAGACCAGAAAGAGAGAGACAGAAGTGACCGGAGATACACCAGAGAGAGAGACCATAGAGAAAGATCAAAGAGAGACCCGAGAGAGACCAGAGAGAGACCTCAGAGAGAGACCTTAGAGAAAGACCTTAGAGAGAGACCAGAGAGAGACCTCAGAGAGAGACCTTAGAGAAAGACCTTAGAGAGAGACCAGAGAGAGAGACCTTAGAGAGAGATTAGAGAGAGATCAGAGAGAGACCAGATATAGACTAGAGGGAGAGACCAGAGAGACCTTAGAGAGAGATCTCAGAGAGAGACCGTAAAGAGAGACCAGGGAGAGACCAGATAGAGAGACCATAGAGAGGGATCAGAGAGACCAGACAGGATCAAAAAAACCTCATTCACAACTACCAAAAAAGATGTTAAAGGGAAACACACACATACTAAAATAAGAACTGGGGGATGGAGACTTCTGATCAAGGTCTATCTGTTTTTTATCATTTGAAAATATAAAACACATTTATTTGACATTAAATGGCGCCACACAACCACAAACAATGAGAGAAAAACAGTGCATATATTGCCTGTTATGGGGCAAAAACTTTAACATGTACAACGTGTATAAAAAAATATATAAGTTTGTCTTCTTTGTGCTCCTTTTCAATTGTCTGACTACTATTATTATTTTATGTAAACATGTAAAAATGAAAGAATATTCAGAACAATTGAAATAAATAAAAAATGAAATGAAATGAAATGAAATGAAATAAACAGCATTACCATCCTTGGTCGCTCTTGAACTTGTAGGCAGCAGCGAGGATGTGGCACAGAGCTCCTCCAGATTTGAAATCCAGGAAACATTTCATCTGCAGAGAACAAAAGATATTGATAAACTGGACTTTCAAACCAGATAACAAAGAACGATGAATAGTTATGGATTCTCCTCAACGCAAAATGCACTCAAAATGCATCATGTTTTACCAATATACTGGCAACACTGATTCAGATGTTTAAAGCTAAGGTCTTTAAAGGTATATAGGAGGATATTCTACTTCCAGGTGGATCAGCAAGATTATTGGTCCACCTAATTGTCAATCATGCTGGTGATAGGTGCTCATAGTGATGGAAAATAAGTAAAATATGGAGAAAAAAATTATCTTGAGTTGGGCACATTTTGACTATGCTCCTTATCTAAGTGGGAAGTCTTGGGCGTCTCTGCTTAGATTGCTGCCCCCACAACCCGGCCACGGATGAAGCAGAAGATAATGGATGGATGGATTTTGACTGCCTTAAAACAATATTTGCCAATGAGACAAGCAAAATGATCTTGTTATAAAAAATATTCACAAAATTTCTTCCTTGGAATGAGAAAATATAGCAACAGTTCTGGAAATAATGGTTTTGTCCCACTGGCAAATCTTGTTTTTGTCAGAATGTTCTCAATTTATGATTAAAAATAAAAAACAATAGATTCAAGAAAATATTATCCCATATTCTATCATTCTTTGCAGTGTAGGAAAGTTGGGTACCCCAGCTTTACTTCTCATAAATCGTATAAAAGCAGTCCATGTGAACGTCGACACAGATGGCTCAGACTCACCGGGAGTTTGGTGAGGGGCGGGTTGCTCACATGGCGTCCGAACACTTCCTCCTGGAACTGGAGCAGCTGCAGCACCAGACTGGACAGGGACTTGTTGGTGGGAGGTTCGGCCTGGATGTACTGCACACAACACACACAACACACTAGTAATGCATTGTTCATACACCATCATAATCATGTTGTGTAGTGTAATCTAGTCTAATCTAGGCAGGAGGACCAAGACTCATGCACCTATAGTCCAAACTACAACAGAGCCCGTGTTTCTTTTAATCTCTGGTTCTAAACATTAATCCACATGTGCGGCTGAGACAGGGGTCTCTTCTTTGATCGTTTTTTTTTGCCTAAAACATTGGAACTTGTATCATAAGTCATCATATCATAATATCTCATAGTTTCCAAACCGTTTAGGGTCAAAGCGGTTACATATCATAATAACATTAACCATGTTAGTGCCACATGAACTAACTAGGACTCTGAGGAGCACAGGGACTGGTCTCCTGCTGGGACTCTGAGGAGCACAGGGACTGGCCTCCTGCTGGGACTCTGAGGAGCACAGGGACTGGCCTCCTGCTGGGACTCTGAGGAGCACAGGGACTGGCCTCCTGCTGGGACTCTGAGGAGCACAGGGACTGGTCTCCTGCTGGGACTCTGAGGAGCACAGGGACTGGCCTCCTAATTTCTTGTTTTGTTGAGCACTTTGAGTTGCCTTGGGGGTGAAAAAAAAAGTTGGCCTTGCTGAATATTAAATAAGTTGAACTGCATAACGGAAACATTTTTACGTTTTAAGTTTTTTGAGTTGGAGCAAAAACTTTCTACACAGGATTATATAATTATTGCAATTCATTATTGAATTGATACGTTGTAGCCGGACCCCCTCCCTCAGTCCTTCTCTAAAACCGTATAGAAGAAATGTGTAATGCCATAATAACCATAATAATAAAAATAATAATATTTGCAAACAACTGAAGTTTGTGGTGGTTATAATGCTTTCTTTATCATTCTTTTTAAAATGATATTAAAGATGGGGACCGGGTACGTAACTTCCGAACTAAAACAAGGTAATGAAATCCATGTCACTAGTCCCTCACTCTCAACAGTTTGCTTCCATAACTTCTTTTCACATCTTTAGATCAGCTTTTTCAGACATGTAAAAAGAAGAGAGGACCACCCCTTACTCAGCCAATCAGCTCTCAGCACAAAAACAGTGACTCTAAGGGCTTACATGTGTATTCAACATGTGTTCTAAAAAGATGAAGACATCATGAGGTGGTCTGACAAGATTTTACTTTCACAAGACATTTGCTATTTAGGTACCCCAGCTTTAACGTGGGTCCAAATTTGTTTTTGATTTGAAAGACCATTTCTCAAACATGTCACAGAACGCAGTGTATGCAATGAGACAGATGGGAAATTATATAGTGTTTTATTTATGTGGATTTTACATAGTTTTGACAAAGCAAAAAATCTGCCAGTGAAAAAAGTGGCATCATCTCTTGTCTGCTTTAATCTATCAAGACAAATCACAGCATTTATCTCAATATATAGTGTTGATTATACATATATATCACTCGCGTTGAAAAACAGTGTATTTCCTTGATTCCAACCCAAAACAAAGCTAAAAACAGTGCGTTTTTCGCAGATGGCCGAGAGCATTGGCGCCACAACATCTGGAGGAGAGCGGAGGGGAGCTAACCGGGGCTAGCCTCTGTTAAACCCCGAATTACAGCACTCTCTCTGGGAGCCGTCTCTGCGTTTCACCGTGCGCCATTCGAGCGTGAAGACTGCGAACGTTTGGGCAGAGAACGGCGTTTGTTTGTGGCTGATTTCTGCGTCTAAACGCGCTCAGCATCCTTTTGTATCCCGGTAAAACAGCTGGATTCGTGGCGCTGCGTGTGAAGCTAGAGCGCACGCGGGCGTTTGTGGTCGTGGCGAACGCGGCGGCCATTTTGCGTATTGCTCTTAGTCGGAAACAAATGTAAAAACGCGGTAATAAAATGTATTGGTACGAGTGGTTGAATGGACACATAATAATACACCAAACTTCACCATAAAAATGGCATTTGTTAATGCGTTTCCTTTTCTGTATAATAAAATATATAAAACTATTATTTATTAGTTTTATTAGTAAATGATCATAAAAGCAATGATTGAACTATTAGTTAGTTCAATCATTGCTGAACTTTAAAATGAGACCCTTATAATGGCTAGGTATGTTTAATTTTCTTGCACAGATTATACACAAGGCAACTCGAGGATCTTAAAAAAAACTAGATTATTATCATTATTACTATTTACAGCTATTTGAGTTGCATTTAAAGCTTTTTTTCTCTGTATATTATATGTGCTCCTTGTGTGCTCTAACTACTGTACTGTAAGTGTGCCGCAACAAAAAGCCTACACTGTGGGACAAATAAAGGTTCTCTTATCTCATCTTGAGGTTTATAAGCAACTATTTTAAACTGGTGCCTATCACGTACAAACTTCTAATCCAATGTTTTCACACAAAACTTTAGGGTGAGAGCTGATTGGCTGAATGAGGGTGGTCTCTTTGTCACTTATACGGTCTGAAAAAGCTGACAGAGGCCAAATGTCTAGGGTCGGCACTAGATCATATACGGAATCGGGACGAAACCGGAAGTAACAATCCTACTTTCAAATTAGTTTTTGACTAATAAGTCCTTGTGGTGACTGGTTAAGTTTTAGGCGTCTGAGTAAGATGGTTAAGGTTTTATGGGAATGGCTGGTTAAGTTTAGGCATGAATTGGTAGTTTGTTATATTTATTTCCGCTTCCGTCCCGATTCCGTATATGATCTAGTGCTTACCAAATGTCTAGTGGCAGAACCAACATTTTTTAGAGCCAGGAACTACTTAGATGGACGTTGCAACATGAAATAATGTTTACAGACTTATTTGTTTCCTCAGAAATATAGAGGTAATATGTAGTCGAGGATGTAAAAAGTTAATCAGTTACTCAAAAGTCATTATAATGAAATACTCGTTGGCTACAGCCCTAATACAAAAATCTAGTAGAATAATCCAAATACTTATTTACTCAGATATTCGTTAAGCCCTAGTTTATTTTGTATGAGTTTTGACATCCCAACATGGCCGCCCATCCCTGGACCTCAGCCTGCTTCAGCGATGCGTTCTCTAGCAGTTAACACAGCGCAGCCCCTGGATCTACACCCTCCTCCTTCTCCTTTGTCACAGCCGCTACCCGAGTGCTCCCAGCCGGCCTCTCCTCCCCACAAACACCCGCAGGACGGAACCCTTGTGTCGCGGTACCTTCTTGTAGTTCTTGCCCAGCCACACACGGACGTTGTCGAACTGGGAGACGGTGTCCGAAGCCTCGAAGTATTTGACGTTCGGGCCGCCGTCCTTCTTCCGCACCGCCATGTTCACTGCTGCAGACACAAGCCCTCTGGCGGACAAAGCGAGGCACTGCAGCCGAGTGGGATACAGCTGTAATGTGGGGGAGCGGCCGCTGGGGGGCGCAATGAGCAAAGGGGCTCCAACCATAAACAGTATATATATATATTTATTCCAATTCCTACAGTACAACGCAAGTCAGGGTACAAACATATATAAAGTTCACACCTTCACAATTAAAGTGAATATGTCAAACATTAAAGCTGGTGTACCTCACTTTTTACAGTCTTGTGCAATGTTCTGTAAAGTGCCAAACTGTTGTTGTGTCCTGAAGCAACACACTTCACCCACGTTGCCTAGAATGAATCTGGTGTGTGTGTGTGAACGGTTGGTGGTGGTCAGAAGGACTTATGGCACAGACTGGTTGCCATGCTTCTGTCAGTGTCGCTTCAGGGCAGCTGTGACTTGAGTAATAGTTTATCACCACCGTGTATGGGGTGAAAGAATAATGACATGTGGAGTGTCTTTGAGTGTCCAGAAAAGCTCTATATAAAATCAATGTGTTATTATCATTTAAAATAATCTTTTGCATATACATAAAAGAGACCTTTGAGTCACTTTTTGACGCTTTTGGCAAAAGGAAGTTGGTTCTCTTTTTTTCACTTTTCTCTCTGAAAAAGCTGAAAGAGAAACTAGTGATAGAAACCAAATGTTTTGATGCCAGGGACTATGGATTTGTATGTTTTAATGTTTTGAGGTACCCTAGCTTTATTAAGAGGAGATATTACTTTTTGGCTTCTCTACTCACCAGTGAAGCATTTTCCTTGGCTTCCTTGTTTGAGTGGATGCGTCGTTAGGTGTATTGGTTCTTCTGGCACCCCCTCTGTTGATTCCAAATTATTTCTGAGATTTATATTTGATAATTCTATAATTTCATTCTCATGTCTGAAAGTCCTCTCTCCTTGCCAACATTGTGCATATGGTTTGAATACTGTCCCCACTTTAGAAAAAAATACAGAGACCTTAGTTGTGCTGATAAACAAGATGTGGAACTTTGGGACAGTTTTTGTTGCTTGGATTTAAACCCAAATTGCGGTTTTCATGAACTGTTATGTCAGTTCTCAGTTCTTTCTGCTTTTGTTTTTGCATCTGTAAAACCATGCTCGAATTTGTCAAAATGGCAAACAATTACTAAAAGAGTATAACTTACTTACACAGGGAGGCAGCGTTTCAGATTCCTGCAGCTGCAATCTGGAACAGTCTTCCTGAAAATGTGAGACAGACTTCTACTCTGACAATGGTCCTCAGAGTCCCAGCAGGAGGCCAGTCCTGAGCTGGGCTACTACCACTACAACTACTCCTGGAATGAGATTCATCCAGTTTCCAGCTGCTAAACAGTTAGCTCTAGTGGTTGCAGTTGGGATTACACATAACACATTTTGCACAAACCACTGCTACTGAATTGACTACCACCGATTCTACTACTTTGTGAAGTTTTTATTTTGTTAAAATAACTGAAAAGTGTAAACCAGGCCCCAGGCATTGTGTTTGGTCCTGTCTCAGCACCAGCTCAAACCAGTGAAACCAGTTTTGTTGGAAAACTATAAACGTCATAAACATTACGTAATAAATCCTCTTTAGCTCTGATTAAAAGTGAGTTATCGAGGAGAGAGTCGTCACTGAAATAAAGCAGAGTTTGAAACAGATCAGTGTTTGTATATCGGGACTAAAGCCCTGTTTCCACCAGCCCTGCTCTACTTTACTCTAACCCTACCCTACTCTATTCTACTTATTTATCATTCTGTAAAGTTCATGAGCTATATGTAGAAAAACTCCCCTATGTGTGTATAAACATCGTGGTCATGGCAACGGTGCTCTCGCTAAATCCCCTAAACACACAGGAACCCATTGTTCCTGTGTGTTTTCTCAAGTTGACATTTTTAGTGTTCTTAAAAAATCCAGGCTGAAGCAAATGGATTCCAGATTTTTATTGTGTTTACTAAAAAACCTTTCCCCATTGAAATCCAGAGTCCATCGTTCTGTAATTTCCACCACGGTGAGTCCCAAGTCCACATAAAGTCATAAAGAACAGTTTAGTTTTGGAAGAACTCCTCAGCTCCTGTACATGTTTGGTCTTCATCAGAATTCCCATAGGTTTGAATTAGAGCAGTCAAAATTACTTGCGGAGTCCTAGTGTTAAATAAACATTACAGCAGGAGAAATACAAGGTTCCATGATGCTCCACAAACAGCAGCAGAGTGATGATTGATTTGAGACGGAAGCAAAACAGCCTGAAGGATTTAGACAAAGACTCAGACTCGATCCAAACTCTGGGAAAAAAGTTATTTAAGTTTAGGGAAATGTGTAGAGTCTCCATAATAACTAAACCAGAGTCCAGCGTGAAGCGGCTGAGAGAAGGCCGCCTCTTCTCTGTGGATCAGCCTCATGTTTGCAGAGACGTCGTAAAAGGACAAGACCCCTGCACTGTGGTCCAGGAAAACCCCCACTCTGGACCCGACCGGACCTGAGACCCAGGACAGGACTGAGTTAAACATAAAATAAGGATTGGTTTTGTCACAGAACAAGGCCCAGGATTTATTATTGAATCCAAATCTACATTCATCCAAGCCTTTCCTCTGAATATCTCTGTATGAAACTGCGATGACAACAATCCCCTCTGAGCTCCACTCCTCTTCCCAGTAACAGCGACTCTTCACACTCTCTCTGCTCAGAACCTGACGACACACACTGAACCGGTCCTGATGATCCGGATACTTCTGTTGTTTCCTTGTAACTGTCGCTCTTCTGTTTCCATCAGACAGAGACAGCAGGGAGTGAGCTGTGTTTATGTCCAGAGTGAAGTCTGTAGAATATTGTAAGAACTCGTCTCTGGTCTTGGGTTCTGTCCTTAAAAGCTGAACTGGACTCAGAGCCAGAGAGATGCTGCTGCGTCCCTCCTCCACAGTGAGCTGCAGTCTCTCCCTGAGCTCGGACACAGCTCTGGTCACTGCCTCAAAGGGGCTCCTGGCCTCTGTGTGGCCCCTGACTGGGACTGGACCCTCTGTGTGGCCCCTGACTGGGACTGGCCCCTCTGTGTGGCCCCTGGCTGGGACTGGCCCCTGTGCGTGTGAGGCCAGTGCAGTGTGCAGCTGTATGAAGGTGTTGTGGTCTTTGGTGAGGGACAGTGTGTCCAGGTCACAGAGGCTCTTCTTCAGCTCACTCAGCTCCTTCTGGACTTGGTCTTGGATCTCTCGGACTCGGCTCAGTCCGCTCTCCTCCAGAGACTGGATCTGCTGCTCCACTTCTTTGGCTCTTGTCTCCAGGAGAAGGATCATGTCTCTGAAGCTGTCCCTGCTGAGCTGCAGTGCTGTGTGGGCAGAGCTCCTGATGTCCTTCTCCTGCTGCTGCAGTGAGCTCAGCTCTGTGTCTTTGTGCTGGACGTTCTGGAGGAGCAGGTCTCTCTGGGGCCCCAGCTGTGCCTGCCTCTGGGCCCTCTCTGAGGCTGAGGACACAGTCTGGTGCTCCTTGTGTTCCTCCAGACAGCAGAGAGCACACACAGGAGCTGTCCGTCAGTGCGACAGAACATCTTCTTCAGCTCGTTGTGCTCAGAACACATGTTTTCCTGGAGCGTGTGCGATGGCGCCACCAGCTGGTGTTTGCTAAAGGCTGCAGACTCATAATGAGGCTGTAGGTGGCGCTCACAGTAGGAGACCACACACTGCAGACAGGACTGGACCGCTCTCAGCTTGGCCCCAGTGCAGACGTCACAGGACACGTCCTGAGGCCCACAGAGGTCAGCAGGGGGCGCTGTGCTCCTCTGCTCCACTACAGCTGCTAACATGATGTTCTTACTCAGCACAGGCCTCGGGCTGAAGCTCACACGGCACAAGGGACAGGTGTAGAGCCGCTGCTCCTCCTCTTTGTCCCAGTGGTCCTGGACACACTTCAGGCAGTAGCTGTGTCCACAGTGAAGAGAGACCGGAGTCTGCAGTAAATCCAAACACACAGGACACAAGAGCTGCTCTGTCTGCGCCATCGCTGCAACAAGTTTCACTGAGACGGAAACGAAACTTATGAGAGCAGAGGGAGGGGCCAGGCCGCACCCTGTGTGTGTGCGTGTGTGTGTGTGTAATGTGTGTGTGTGTGCGTGTGTTTGTTTGTGTATCTGTGTAATGTATGTGTGTGTGTGTGTGTGTGTATTCGCTACTATCATAGAAATGTTTTAATTTTTGTTGCGGTTCCGACCAGTTTCGATCATTTTAGGAGTCAAAATTGACTTCAATGAAAGTAATTTAGTATTCTACGTCATGGTGCTACGTCCCTTAGGACTTCGCTAGTGGGATATCACTCGTGACCCCCAGGTCAACTAACCTGGCAAGAGCCAGATTGATGATTGTGTAGAACTCTAACGCGTTCTCCACGATATCAATCTGGGATTTCTGCAGGAGAATCCTTTCGGGGAAAGGAGGGCTAAGCAGCAGAATACTTCAAGCTGATTGGGCGAAGTGACGCTGTGTGCCCGCCTACCAAGGTTGCCGTCCAGTAATGCACAAAGCGCCTCTCGCTGTTCATCTTTCAAAAAAGAAATTGGAGATTCTGCTAAAACTGACTTGATAGCCTCAGCTACGCGTCCGTCCTCCTGCGTAGCCATGTTTGTTTTGCTTCGGCCCGGCACTTCTTGCTTTCGTCAAACCCGGATATCCCGCCCTAAACCCCCAGACTGGCGCGTGATTGGCTCGCACACCCAGTGGTTCGACTCGAAAAGTGTAAGCGGGAGCGGTACAAGATGTATTCTCGAGTGTTTGTGAACTCACAAATACCGCGAGACTCAGCTTGCAGGCAAGGTTACAGGTCAACGCCAGAGAGATCAAAATAATTTGCTCCAATCACCAGCCACCTTCCTCTATAAATGCCCCTTCACAAGGCCGCACCCCCTCTTTCACTCTGGCGCCGTTTGAGATCTACCACACTACTTACTTTATTCAGAGATGTCTTCCTTGTTCGTCCGAGTTCCCTTCGCCCTCCGGCGTCGGACGTCGTCACTGGATCCAGACGGTGGAGGACTTCACCTCTGTGGGTGCCACCACTCGAGGAAGGAGAAGGATGCCTAAGCCCCTAGCAGCCAAGAGGCCTGCTCTGGGGTACGACATATACTGCAGCGGGCAGGACTGGTCCTGGACCGGTGATCGAGGATTCAGTCCGCATGGCCCTGCAGCCCTCCGCATCCGTGTGGCCCGGCACCAGACCTCTCCTTCCCTCCGAGCGGGACAGGATGTCTTGCCGAGGCTGGATAGATATTAGGCCAATGCGGCACAGGTCGTCACATTGGCTAACAACATGACTTTCATCACGGGGGCCCTGGATAGGGCGCTCTCCTCTGGCCAGGCGCTCAGTGGAGACCTCCTGTCACAGGCGAGGACCACCTCGGCGGCGACTCTGCGCATGTGCCAGACGCTAGCTGTGGATGGTGGCCGCTCCATGGCAGCAGCCCAAGTCGGGCCAGGCACCTTTGGCTTGGGCTGGCTAATATCAGGGAGGCGGAGAGGAGGCAGCTGCTGGACCTGCCCACCTCTCAGATGTCCCTCTTCGGCCCGGACATGCAGGCCTGGGTGGCGAGACTGGAGTCTGCAGCTAAAGACTCGGCTAGGCTAGCCCCGCACCTAGCACCGAGGCGCGAGGCCCACCAGCCATTACGGAGCCGGGACAGAGGCAGAGAGCGTTGGCCCGGGAGGCATCCTGACCCGTATCCGCGCTCTGTTATCCATCGTCCCCCCCTCGACGAGGCCCCCGGGTCCAGACAGACCCACGGGTGGCTTGCGGGAGCAACGCACCCACCACCGACCTCCCTATGGTAGAGGAGGCCGGGGTGGAAAACATTTTTCTTCAATAAAGGCCGACCGGCATTTCATCATTACTTTTCTGAGTCTGATTTGGGGGTATGTAACATGTCAAATATTGTGAATTCTGATTGTGTTACTTCCCGGGCACATAACGTTGCTTCGCTAGGCCTGCAGCCCCAGAGAGGGGCGTGCAGTGCACTACGAGCTCCGGTTTCTCTGATCCATACTATGCCCTCCCAGAGAGAGGTCAGGCGGAGGGATCTGGTGAGTGATATGTGTGTGCTTCGGCCGAACGCGTGTTAGCATGTCTGAGCTACAGGGCTAACACGGGGTTTCCCACTCCAGGGGCTCGCCCCCCCCTCCCTGAGGCAAGAGCCAGGGGGGGGCACAGCAGCCGAGTCACGTGTGGTGAGCAGAGCTACAAGGCTAACACGGGGTTTCCCACTCCAGGGGCTCGCCCCCCCCCTCCATGAGGCAAGAGCCAGGGGGGGGCACAGCAGCCGAGTCACGTGGGATGAGCAGTCCCGTACTTATGACGTCGGGCCTGCAGGACACGTGACCGCCCTCGGCGCTCACGGTGTGACGCAGGGTGCCCCCCCGGCCCTTTCGTCCACCCCCCCTCCCTGCTAGGAACACCAGGAGAGGGCGGGGCTGTGACGTCTCGTGTTCCAGCTCCCGTTCCGCTCCTCACAGACTTCTACAGCATCTGGAGGGAGCAAAGATGGCTGACATATCTATGGCTGGAGAGAACACTGCGCAGGGGTTGCGCACTGCAATTCTCCCAGAAGCCACCACCATTCCGAGGCGTACGGGCAGCACGCTCTCAGGTACGGGGTCATTAGAGGCACTGCAAGCGGAGGTCTCCTCTCTGCTGAGTCTAGGCGCAGCAGTAGAGGTAGACCCGCAGGAGGCCACCAGGGGGCTGTACTCCCCTTACTTCTTAGTGCCAAGAAGTCAGGCGGGGTGCGTCCCATTTTGGATCTGCGCGTGTTGAACGAGTGCATTTCCAAACGGCAGTTTCGGATGCTGCCCACAAAGCAGCTCCTCGAGTGTGTCAGGCAGGGAGATTGGATATCCTCCATAGACCTGACAGATGCGTACTTCCACGTGCCGATAGTACCGGAACACAGGAGGTTCTGCGCTTCGCAGTGGGAGAGAGGAATTACGAGTACTGTCGTTTTCCCCTTGGACTACGCACTCGCGCCGTGGAGCAGGGGTAAGAATTTAATCTACATAGACGTCGGGTTAATTCTGGCCTCATCCAGGGAAGTGGCCGTGAGTCATACGCACTGGGTCCTGTCCCACATACAGCGCCTGGGCTTTGCGGTTAACAGGGAGAAAATTAACAGTTACCTTTGTAACTTAAGTTCTACGAATAGGTGCACGTGATATCCCACTAGCAAAGTCCGCTAGGGGACGTAGCACCATGACGTAGAAGCAGGCTGCAACCGGCTCAGCGCATGATCTATCTCGGTCTGCAGCTAGACTCTGTGACATTCCGTGCTGCATGGTCCGTGGACAGACGGATGAACACTACCCGTCTGCCCGGGGAGGTTCTGGCGGGCCCCAGAGTCCCCGCTCGGCGCCTCAGGTCCCTGCTGGGAATGATGGCGGCGGCTCATGCTGTGGTACGGCTAGGCCTTCTCCACATGAGGAATTTTCAGAGGTGGTTCTCACGCCTCAGGCTTCACCCCTCCCGGGACGGGGGGAGGCTGATCTGGGTTCCCCAAGTGGCAGCATCGAACATCAGGTTCTGGCTCACTCCGGGTCTTCTACGGGACGGAGTGACTCTGGCCGGCGCCGTGTCTCACGTGGAGATGTTCACGGACGCGTCGCTCGAAGGATGGGGCGGGGTCCTCGGCCAGAGTTCTGTAGGAGGCTGCTGGTCGGACTCAGCCCGTCACATCAACCTGCTGGAGATGGAGGCAGTGCACAGGGTACTGCTGCACTTTGCTCCTCAGCTGCAGGGGAGACACGTGATGGTGCGCTCAGACAACACCACAGTGGTCTCCTATCTGAACAGGCAGGGGGGCACCAGGTCCCCCGCTCTCCATCGCATGGCGAAGGTGACGCTGCTGTGGGCGGCGCTTCACCTCCTGTCTCTCAGGGCGCGCCACGTCCCGGGGGTCCGGAACGTGGGGGCCGACAGGATGTCCAGGGGGGGGGCCCACTCCAGGACGAGTGGGGCCTGGCCTCAGGGGTGGCTGCGGAGATCTGGCGGAGGTTCGGCCGTCCAGTGGTCGACCTTTTTTCGCCAGTGCAGGAAACGCACAGTGCCCGTCCTGGTTCGCCTCAAGGGCCGCGGACCAGCCGCCTTTAGACGTGGACGCTCTGGCTCATTACCTCTGGCCAGGGGGCCTGCTGTACGCGTTCCCCACCAGTGCGTCTCCTGCCGGTCCTGCCGCGGAGGATCGAACAGGAGAGGAGGTCGGTGATCCTGGTGGCGCCGGACAGTCCGCATGCCCGGTGGTTCCCCTTCCTGAGGGGCATGGCGGTGATGGAGCCCTGGGCCCTCCCGGACGAGCCGGGGGCTCTAGTCCAGGGGGGGAGGAGCCCTGTTTTCACGCCCGATAATCGGCCGCAGGCTCTGGGTTGGAGGCTGAGAGGCGGAACCTCGTAGACCTGGGTCTTCCCCCTGCGGTGGTGGAGACCACTCAGGGGGCGAGGGCGCCGTCCACTGTGAGGGCCTACGCCACGAGGTGGAGGCTCTTTAGCGACTGGTGCGGTTTTCGTTCCTGGGATCCCAGGCGTTGCCCGCTGGAGGGGGTCCTGGGATTCCTACAGGAGCTCTTTGACAAGGGGAGGACTGTCGCCACCTTGGCGGTGTTCGCGGCAGCCATTACTTCGGGTCACGACGGATTCGGGGGGTTCACAGCCCGCTCTCATCCGTTGGTTAAACGTTTTCTGCGGGGGGCACGCAGGAGGAGGCCCCCGCTCCAGAGAACGCCCCGGTTTGGGACCTCAGGGTGGTCCTTAGGGGGCTGTCGGGTCCGCCTTTTGAACCGGCGGCGGAGGCGAGTCCCGAGTGTGTCGCTTAAGACGGCCCTCTTGTTGGCGTTGGCGTCTGCTAAGAGGGCGGGCAACTTGTGTGCGCTCTCTGTCCATGCGTCTTGCCGGTCCTTGGAGAGGGCGACGGCATGGTGGTATTGTGGCCCAATCCGGCTTTTCTCCCCAGGGTCATCACGTCGGCCTTTAGGTCGAGAGTCATCAGGATTAGGGCTTTCTATCCGCCACCGCATGCCTCCCCCGAGGAGGAGCGGCGGCACCTTCTGTGTCCTGTCAGAATGCTGAGGCATTACCTGGCCATGACGTCGTCATTCAGGTTGGGTGGCCAGCTGTTTGTGTGTCTGGGCCCCAAGAACAGGGGCGCCCCGCTGTCGGCTCAGCGGCTGGCGCACTGGGTTGCCACGGCTGTGCGGCGGGCGTATCAGACGCAGGGTCTGGCCCTCCCGGTGGGTTTCAGGTCGCATTCCACGCGTGGGATGGCGGCCTCTACGGCCCTTCTCAGGGGGGTGTCGGTCGAGGACGTATGCCGTGCGGCTTCTTGGGCTTCGTCCTCCTCTTTCGTCCGGTCTTATCTTTGGATGTGTCGGACCGGTCGGTGGCCCATTCCGTGCTGAGTGCAGCGGACTGAGTTAGACCGTTAGGTCCCTCCTCTGAGGGGGCCTTCGGTTTACTTTCCGCCCTGGTTCAGGAGCTCTTGGGAGAGGCATCCTACAGGTGCGGTACATATATGTGTGTTTTGGTCGGTCTGGTAGTCCACGTCAGGAGCCCTTGGGAGAGGCGTCCTGTGACTACGGATGACCTATATCTGTGTTACGTGGGGGTATCCTTGGTAGGAGTGGCCCTGTAACACGCATTGTTTCTTCTGCCCTGAGTCCTCTCACTTTGTGAGGGTCTTGCTCGGGCGGAGCTCCAATCACCCTTCGCTGGCCTGCTGGGAGTACATTTTCCTACGGCCTCCGCGTTGTGTCCCACTAGCGAAGTCCTAAGGGACGTAGCACCATGACGTAGAATTAATAGTTACTTAATGTAACTTAAGTTCTACGAATAGGTGCGTAGTCCCTTAGCTACGAGCCCATCAGGCCAGCCCGGCTTGGCAGAGTTCAAGAGGGGGTGCGGCCTTGTGCAGGGGCATTTATAGAGGAAGGTGGCTGGTGATTGGAGCAAATTATTTTGATCTCTCTGGCGTGTGACCTGGGGGTCACGAGTGATATCCCACTAGCGAAGTCCTAAGGGACTACGCACCTATTCGTAGAACTTAAGTTACATTAAGTAACTATTAATTATATATGCACTCTAAGAAATAAGGTGTTGGATTTAATTGATACAGTTATGGAAAACTTTTCCATAAAACTCAGTAAATTAATTGTGAAATAACTTTGTTGTTAGCTACAACCTCTGTGGTCTCTTATATCAGATGTAAAATTGTTATTTAAATGGCAAGGCAAGGCAAGGCAAGTTTATTTGTATAGCACAATTCATACACAAGGCAACTCAAAGTGCTGAACAAGATAGCATTAAAATCATAAATAATTACAGAACATTAAAACGAAAGATAAAAATATAAAATCCCTCAGTTGTATGCACAGCTAAACAGCACCGTTTTTAACCTGGTTTTAAATATTGTCAGAGAGGAGGCCTGTCTCACATCTTCAGGAAGATTGTTCCAGATTTTAGCAGCATGGATCTGAAAAGCAGCCTCCCCATGTTTAGTTCAACAGCTCTGCATGATTACATTCTACTGAATGCTGTTAAATGGTTATTGACAATGTTATGTTGGATTTAATTAACATTAATAATTTGGATTTAAGTGCATCACTAGCATTGTACTTTGGATTTAATTAACACTATTAGTTATGATTTAATTAACACCCTTAGTTATGATGTATAAACATTATTAGTTTTGATGTATTAACAATATTAGTTATGATTGAATTAACATCATTGTTTATTTTTTAAATATATTTTAATATTAATGTGTAATCAAAACTAGTGTAGTGTAAAATGTAGAT